TGTGTCATACCAGGATACCTTTTCACAGAATGACATAAATGAATGAACACAGATTTCACTCAAAAAACATCTACTTTGATATGACCATAACATTTGGGAGCAATATGTTAGGATTTAAAGGAAATATAATAGCAAGCATATTCGGGTCCAAATGTCCGATCAAACCCAAAAAATATGTTATCATATTATATTATTATTACAACTAAGAATCCTTAGGCAAAAACTATGGTGTTCTATGGCCAATGCCAAATAAAATGGAGGGTGGGACTGTGGAAGTTAAATACAGGCATTTGATCTAGCAGATCTGAAAAGATAATTGACCATATAATGGTTGCAGAAAGTTTTATCCAAAAAGACTCTATGCATGGAATCACTTTTAATAAAAAAAAAATTGCCCTAAACAGGAGTAAACACAATATGAAAATCCAAAATAAGAGCACTTTGTTTTTTATTCCCAAAATAGGAGTAATTACTGTTGTGCTTGTGCTTGGAAAATACTTTGGCATTAGTTCTGTCATATTAATGTCTCATATTGCAAATGAGACATAGTAGGAAATATGGCAAAAATGTTTCAGGATGGCTTGGTGGTAATTACTCCCATTTAGAAAGAGAAGACATAGTACACCTGTTTTGGAAATTAATATTGTTGTTTACCCCTGTTTCAGGGAATTTTCCTTTTTAATGTAAATAACAGTACTTAATTAGACGCAATGTTTGACCTTTTGGGGTAGAATTAACTTTATATCTCTTCAGGGATGTAAAATGAATTTTACTTAAAAGTTAAAACTAAACATCCATATGAAATGAGTTTTATTTGAAAATAAAACAAATATATATATTTATTTGAAAATAGTTGAAAATTTATTTTTATTTATTTAGAAAACGAGTTACATTTGAAAATAACTAAATACTTGTTTATTTTTTTATTAAGAGAAGTGATGCTCATATATGCTCTTACTTAAAAAGTTGTCCAGCTCTAAGGTCTACTTATATATGTTGATGATAGCATGCCCTCAGTTATAGCCAATAATGCCAAAGAATAAAAAACTGATATGCAAGATATTATTATGCCTTTATTTAGAACTGAAGCAAACAGTTACATAGTAACTAATTGAACTGATACACTTATGGATAGAGCCTTATATCTAAACTTTCTTACCATGTGGCCATGCAAGGCAGACAATATCTCTTTGTCTTGCAGTTTGTGCAACGAACAACCATTCCTTTGTCATTTCTCTGGCATTGGTGACACATATTTGACTCAAACTCATTTCCCTGTCACATGCAATAATGAAGTTTTCCGAAAGTAATGATGTATCCAACTACATAAATGATTATTGAAAGAAGCATTCTAGCTATATAAAGATTAGATCATTTACATCTTCATCCTTTCTGATCTTTGGTCCAGATAAACTGCATACATTATTAGATTTCCTACGTCGAAGGCCATGTGCACTAACTGCATTTCCATTAACTTTCTCATCTTTGTCTTCTTCCTCAATGTCTTCAGTTAAAGTCCTCTTTTCCCCTCTCCTAGTTTTCTTACTTTTAATTGGGCTGTCATTATCTTCCAAGTTAGGCTGAGCTTTACCACTTCTACCTTTCAGAGAATCTTTAACCATCCTTTCCGTTATGCTCCCCTTCCTTCTTCTTTTACACGCTTCATCCAGCTCCAAGTATTGAGCATCGATGTTTTTAATCCTCATTTGTGCATAGCGACTTGATTTCCTCCTTGGAAGAGCATATCCCCTCTCCATTTCAGCGCTTGGCAGGTTTTCTTCGTAGCTCACCCTATTTTTGCCTGCAGCACTGCCCCTTTTAGCGGCCTTTCTCTTCTTAGCCCCACCTTCTTTCTCTTCGGTAAAATCATTTGCAATAAAAGACGCATCTTTTTTTGCTGAGTTATAGTCCTTTGCAATTAAAGGTGTGAACTGCTCCGAAGTAGTGCCTTTGCCACTTTCCTGATTATCCATGTTACCCTCAGAATCCTCCTTCACTGATTTCACTTCTCCATCCACCATCATCTTCCTTCCCTCCTCATCGAATGAATCCGTAGAATAGGTCTGCTTGTTCCCAATATTCTCGTTGTGGTCGCCACATGGTGAATTAACCATCTCTTTTGCATCCGTGTGAGAAATTTCTTCTCCTATCTACAGGTTGACTGCCCGGGGTGTTCTTGGATTGTACTTCCTCTTTGGGGCAACAGTCCACTCGTATATATACGAATTTGACTTTGTAGTGCTTTGACATATCATATGGAGTAACTCCGTATCAGACTATCAGTTATCACATATGTGAAAGGAAAATTTCTCATTATTATTACTACTCCGTATTATTTATAACGAGAAAAAATAAACAAAACACGAGAAAAATTATGAAAATAAAAAATTAGAAAAATATTAAATTAGAGAACCTTCGAGCATTAGAAAAAAGAAAAATGCTAGTGGTACACAATTTATACACAATTTGTACACACAATGTCGGTTATAGACAATTGGTACGGAGTTGCCTGTGACCACAGACAAGAGTTGTCTGTGTACACAGACAAATTTTGTCTGTCTCCACAGACATTTACTTTTTTGTAAAAAGTACTTGTCAGTGTCAGACGGCTCTCAGTGTACTTTTTACAAAAAAGTAAATGTTTGTGGAGACAGACAAAATTTGTCTGTGTACACAGACAACTCTTGTCTGTGGTCACAGGCAACTCCGTACCAATTGTCTATAACCGACATTGTGTGTACAAGTTATGCACAACTTGTGTACCCCTAGCATTTTCCTTAGAAAAATATGCTGCCCCTCTTCTGCCAGCTCAACAACCTTGGAGCGCTATCACCTTCGATCACCGGGCAAAAGTGTCAATATGTGTCAAAAATGTCATTATATACTCTCTCCGTCCCATTGTACTTTATCGACCTTTCCTTTTGGATTGTCCCACAAAATTTTGTCACTTTCTCGTTAGAACAACTAATTTGTGTGGTTCTACGCATTTCTCTTTCTTCTGCACAAATTTCAACCACAAAGTTTTCACTATTCTTATTTTTCACCTACTTTGCACTTAACAAAGTCCACCGAGGCGGAGATAATAACATTTTTTGAGAAAAAAATCACATTTTCAAATAATAAAAATGTCATCTTCATAACATTTACAAAGAAAAAATGATTTTTTATACAAACTTTTTTAAAGTCATTATTTACTTTTTATTTATTATAAGGAACACAGTTCTTTATACGGGAGAGATCTAATTTTAGATAGTAATGCACGTGTGTGTTGAGCTAAGGGGAAATGGGGTATCTTACTATCTTTTGGGATAAATATAGCGTGTAGAAGGTGAATATAAGAGCTCGTTTGGTAGTTTACACGTTAATCTTTGCACGCGAAATGGTCGAATGCAAAGTGTAGTGAAGCAATCACTTTACATGCAAATAGATTACTTTGTTTGGTTAGATAAAAAAAATATTTTTAATTTGCAAGGACATTGCATTGCTTTATAAAAAACATGCAAAATATTTTACCACTCTCCCCACGTAAAATACTTTACATGGACTGTGTAAAGTGTTTTAAAAAAATGTTCTACAATTTATATTAAATCATCAAATCAAACAATTTAAACATTTTACGTTCCTTTACTTCGCATGCAAAGTAATTATTTTACACCCTATCTTGCAAATAAGTAGTTTTTTAAATTGGGAAAACTATCAAATAAGTCCTCGTACTATACGGAAAAAGTCGATTAGGCCATCATACTTTATAAACACTCAATTAAGTCCTCGAACTATTAAAAAACGTTCAATTAAGCCATTTCGGCCGGTAAGTAACCGGTTTCCCAGTCAAATGTAACTCGTTTCCCGGCAGACGCCGTTGCTGGGGTTCGAGCATATCGTCGCCAGCGTCGCCGTTTAATCGGGAAACCAGTTACTTACCGACCAGAAGGGATTAATTGAACGTGTTGAGGTTATGTCTCATAGATCCTAAAGCCCAACACACGCTTAGGATATATGGAGATGTGAGTCTTGGTCGATGGGTAAAGAAAATATAAAATAGTGAAGAAGATGCTAACTCAGGAGCCGAGCTTGTATTAATATCGCAAGTACAAAGAACTACCCGAGCAGCCGAACGGAGTAGTGAATTAATACAAGAATAGAACAGTAAATCTCTCTCTAAGCTCTGAGTATTCAAACGCTAACCCTTTACAATGAATTAAATGCTGCTATTTATAGTAAGAAGTGATAGGTGAGAAGGACACGTGGCGGAACCCTGTTGGCTTCCGTCTTTCCCGCCATGTTCCCACTTGTTACCGCCATACTCTAGTATTAAATGCGGTTGGTTGCTGATGTCGCGTCCGGGGAACGCGATCCCCGCTGGTGTGGTGCTTGATGTAGCCGAATTATCCCGAACGCCGGTCAGGTACCCTGTGTGAGGTGTGGCCCATGCTTGTACAGTGGCGCCCCTTGCGGGTTTCCCTCAAGTAGACTAGATGGCCCGCATGATGTTCGGGGATCTCAAACGGGATGCCTCGCACCGCTTTGGCCCGAATGTTTCTCTTGGGCTTTCTCCTATTATGTATCGGGGATCTCGAACGTACCCCGCTCGGGGAACGGGATCCCCACTGGTGTGGTGCTTGATGTAGCCGAATTATCCCGAACGCCGGTCAGGTACCCTGTGTGAGGTGTGGCCCATGCCCGTACAGTGGCGCCCCTTGCGGGTTTCCCTCAAGTAGACTAGATGGCCCGCATGATGTTCGGGGATCTCGAATGGGATGCCTCGCACCGCTTTGGCCCGAATGTTTCTCTTGGGCTTTCTCCTATTATGTATCGGGGATATTGGGCCTGGACCCAATATCTCAACAGAACGTTTTTAATACTTTGAGAATTTAATTGAGGGTTTGTAAAGTACGAGAGCCTAATGGACTTTTTTGGCATACTGAGAGGACTTATTTGATAATTTGTATACCTACATGCTATTTGGGTCTTTTACGGTTTTCCTATAATAAATGTTCTTTGAAATGTGTTCATACGAGTTCTTCATAACGAACTGAACTACTGAATGCCAGTTTCTCCGAGTACAAACTCATTTAAATTTTAAACCAGACTTAAATTCAGGTGGACACATCGTTGATTGTCTCCGCCTCTTTCTGAACACTCGCAATTGGCGTTGCTGCTTTGCTAGTTTAGCTACGCAAGAGGAAAACATGGAATTTGGGCAAAGCTCGGGCTCTTCCAGCGACGACGTCATCTGGGCCAGACTCGGTAAGTGATCTTTCTTCCTTTGTATATCTATCAAGAAGCAAAACGGGGCATAAGATTGGTTACCTTATTTGCGCTTTCTCGAGTTTGGTTTTCTTGAACGCTTAGTCCCTGGTCATTAGCGAAGGGAAAGTAAAAACAGGACTTTCCAAGTTTCTTGCGGTCGAGTCAAGTCGCCTTATTATTTTTCTGTGTACTACCCACTGGGTTTCATGAAAAGTTATAATCTTTTTTGTTCTACATTAAGTTTCAGCACAAATGACGGTGAAAGAGTTTTGATTTTTAAGCAGTTTAATTATAATAATCTGATACATACGCACTACAGTTGAGAAATTGGAGAACAATGTTTGGGTGAAGTTGTTGGAAGAGAAGGCTTTGAAGGTCTTACTGTATTTCTTGATTAACAAAAGTTTCAGAAAATGGCTAAAGGGTAGAAACATTGTATAAATCTCAAACATTATATCAAGATACACTGGCACAAGGAAAACCTCTCCTCCAGAACTTTTCAAAACCAATCCTTTCCAATTTATGAGGAGTTTTTCCCTTTATCTTCTAGTGTATATACTCCGTATAATTTTTTTATTTTTAAATTCATATAATTATTCCGTGAAAACACAAAAGTTCCATAGACTGCAATTCGGACATGATGTTATTTTGTGGGTGGGCATATGTATGAAATTGGAGTACAGAAGGGTTTAATCAGAACCGTTTGGACCTACAGGAAGTGGAAAGGGCTTTTTATTGCATTTTTACACACATATTTACATTTTTTTAAAATGAAGACTCAGAACTGTACAAGTGTGATCCATAAGCTTGTTGTTTCTTTTACATGTTTTTGGTCGTATCAAACAAGTCACTGGTAGTTAAGACAAAATACAACTCTTGTTGTTTACCTGTGTGCTCATATATACTAAACAAAAAGAAGTGCCTCTGCCCCTAAATCCTAATGTCCTGTCTAATGTTTCACTACAGTACCGGTGGGCTCAAGTAGTTCCGAGATTGAGCTGAAGTTGAATGAGACTGTTATATGCTCAGAGGTATCCACTTGGGAGAAACCCGCATGGTGCAAAATCACAAGAGGTGGGGATATGGTTTCTGCAAAAATACAAAATATCAGGTACTGTTTCTCCCGGATTTTGAGTCCTTTGGTCTTATTCATGATCTTACATGATATTGGTGGAGGGAATGAAGAGATATTCAGCTTTTTCTGACATGTAAGGTCTAACTGATAATTGTCGGTGCCTTTTTCATGAATATCAAGAATATCATGTGTTTGGCAATTGTTGAACATTGTTGGAATAGCCTGAAAATTATTTTCTCAGAATTCTTTGTTATTCCACTGTCAGGAATACAATGACAAACTTGAAGTGTAAATAGAAGCATGCAATATATGGTTGTTTTCTTTCTCGTGAAGTTAGATTCTGAAAGAAACTAAAACTAGTACTTTCAAATTAAAATTTTAAAACTCTACACTCTCTCTTCAACTATCTAATACAAGAGAGGTAACATGTTCAATATGTTCTTTTGTAGATGCAAGTATATGAACTATACTTTGTAAAGAAATAATAGCTCTATATATATGGCATTTCTTGTTTTGTAGTTCAAACGTCATCCTTGTTGATGAGACGGTTGTTCTGGATGAACAAACTGCGATGATCAAGTGTGGCAGTGAAATTGCATTGAGCCTTTCTACCAAGGGTAATGAATTATCAAAGTAATTTTAATGAACTCTCAACTTTTATAACCAGTTGGCAGATGGACATATTTTATATCTTGGTGTATGCCAATGAGTCTGTTGCACAATAGCACTTACTGGATTGTAAGTGTAATTTGGCAACTCAGCCTCTTGTATATCATCTACTCTAGTCAATTTGTGCCTCCCACGTTTTCCCTGTCGCATCTTAAGTGGAAGTGCTGATACTCCATTATGTTTTGGCACCAAATAGCTTGAAGTCTAAATTCCTTGTTACCTTATTGTGATAGTTAGGACTGAACTCATATCTTGTGTGGCATTTCTTCAACATGTTGTTTTGCAAGGAATTTTTAGTACACTCGTAGTGTGTCATCATTATTATTATTATTATTATTATTCTGTTATGGGAAAGAGTCAAATAGGCTCTTGAACTCTTTGAAAATACAGTGAGCATTTAAATGGGAAAAGGCTCCACATGGATGTGTGAAGAAGAGTTCCATGGGACTTTCTCCCTCTTTAACGTTTTGCTATAGCTGGTTACCACTTATTTAGAAATCAATCTGCCCCTGGCCTTATTTGGCTAAATTGCTAGTCTCTTTGTCTCGTTGGCAATTTTCTTTTATAATAGTAGGGGGGAGGAAGAGGTGACCCCCACCCATGTAATATATTTTTCATTTTAACCTTTCCCTTGTAGTAACTAATAGGTAAGTGAATCTTCTTTTGCTAAGGGTATTATAAGCGCCTCAGGTGATTCCTGTCAACCTATTACCTTTGACAATGTACAACCTTGTCCTTGTGGCATTATTGAGTTTGGAACAGAGGCAACTTTACAGTCTTTGTTCTTTGAAAATAACTTTGATATGGACGGAAGAAGGTTGTTGTAATTGTTTCCTACTGGTATAGGTATTCTATTTTAGTTAGTATTCCTAATAGAAGTATTGCAGTATGTTTATGGACATATGGTTAATCTAATACTGGGCCACCAAGACTGTTGCGCTGTTGCGCCTATTATAAATAGAGGTGGTCCATTCAATAATAGAATCATCAATCTTTTGGAGCAATGATTCTTCTTGTACTCTCGGTGGAACCGCAGATACTTCATTTCCTAGGACGGGAAGGTGGCATATTATTCCAATCACATACTTTTCAATCTTCTTCATTCCATCTCTGAACCACCCTGTAACATATTTATCTTCGTGAAGATATGTGTTTGTTTGGATCAGGATTTCCCCTTGTCCAGACATGAACAAATCTATATGTTTTCCCCTGCTTTTTATTGGAATCTAAGTATGTGTTACTATTGATATTATAACTACATTATTATTTTAATAAATTACATTATCATAAATTGTTATTTTAATACAAAAAGATAAAAGCTGTATCATCTTTAAAGTTGCATTTGGGTGCCAACTTAGCCTGCTTTTATGGCCTCCTTATAGGAGTGCATTTACTCTTTTTAGGGTGTGTTAGCGTTCCTGTTTGAATTTTGAGTGTGAGGCTCACGTCAGCTGCTTCTATGCTTACCTGCTAAGTGCAAATACTTTTGTGATTGTACACACCTACTCGTTTTTGTGTTAAGTTTTTAGTTTGGAGAACGGGAAGGTCAGTGATCATATGTTTTCTGAAAATAACCCAAGCAAAGAGATTTTATTTAGTAGACCATACCAAAGACTGTGAGGGCATGAATGCAGTTAAGGATGAACTTTTTGGGGCATTTATCTGTTTAATTTAGTTAAGTTTATATAAATTCTGTAGATGGTTCATCTTTCCAGCTTTCCTATCTTTTTGCTGTCATTAGGCTCTTTAAAGTACAGATTTGAGGTAATGCCTGCAGAGGAACCTTGCAAACATCTAAAGGTAAATATCATTAGTGATATGGATTATGGACACAGCAGAAACCTGCCTGCACCCTTTCTTCTTCTTTCCTCATACAATCAATGTTGAGTTTAAAATTCTGGCTGGTTTGCATAGGTCTCTGTTGATGTAGAACATGCAAAATGCAGCATTTGTTTAAACATATGGCATGATGTTGTCACTGTTGCACCTTGTCTTCATAATTTTTGGTATCTACTTCAATCTGTTTATTCACTATAATTCCTTCCAAGCTTGAATGAGTTTATTTCTTATATCTTTTATTCTTTACGTCTACCCTTCAGCAATGGATGCTTTTCAGAGTGGCTAAGGAGATCCCAAGAGAAATGTTCAAGTGTTAAATGTCCTGAATGTAGAGCCGTTATTCAGTTTGTAGGAAAAAACGCCTTCTTGCATAATATGGAGGAGGTAATTTTTCTTTCACCCATTCACTAATGTGCATTTGATGGTCATTTATTCATGTTAGATCTTTTTAGTGGTTTGCCATATGTTGCATGTTCAAGTCAAAGTTCTGGATATATTATTGTTTTTTGTTTGTAATGGTAATAGTCTAGGGAGTGCTATATGTTTTGATCTGTTCATACTTACCACACAATTTTGCTTCCTTTAGACTTTCTTGTTCTTTCATTTCCCTTTGAAGAAAAGTGGATGCCATACTTCTTTCAGAATATACTGCAAGCTGATCCCTCTCTGAAGCGTCCTGATGAGGATATCAAACTTATAGAGTCTTATGCCTCCATAAATTCACCACTTGTAAGTACTGACTATTGTCTGTGTCTTGAATATTCCTTGTCATTTAAATCAGAATGCAATTCCTACTTCTCATTTTACTCCTATGGAGTATGGAGTGATACTTATTCATCATTAAATAAATATGTACTAAAGGTCTAAAGTTATACATATGGTTTAGTCATCTAAATAAATAATACTCCCTCCGTCCCGCAAAATAATTCCCGGTTTCCTTTTTGGGCCGTCCCAAAATAGTTCTCATTTCCCTTTTTGGAAAGTTTTGTGTGGCTACCATTCATTTACCTTTTTCTTACTCAACCGCAACCATACATTCCCACTCTATTCCCTCTTTCTTAAACTCAGATCCAAACCCTAGTGGGAACTATTTTATGGGATGGAGGGAGTAATAAATAGTACACTGGCAACAAAAGTAATTGGCATATTCAAGAATGAAACATTTGTAATTAACGTAATTCTTTCATCATCAGTTACTAACCTGACCTCAAGTAGCAGGTTCTTAACAGTGGGAAAAAATCCAAAAAGAAGAGGGCACACTCTCCATCAGATGATGCCAGTATATTGGGGCTTCCATGCCTTCAATGTGGTAATTGGATTCTCCCTTAATCATCACATTACATCACGTTGCACATTTAAAGAATAATGGCAGTTAATGGTGTAGATTTTGTGTATGTCTTGCATTTGTTCTGTGCCATGACCCTTAAACTTATATCTGAACTGTGTAAGAAACCTGTTACATGACCCTTCAATGTGGTAATTGAATTCTCCCTTAATCATCATATTACATCACATTGCACATTTAAAGAATAATGGCAGTTAATGGTGTAGTTTTTGTGTGTGTCTTGCGTTTGTTCTGTGCCATGACCCTTAAACTTATATCTGAACTGTATAAGAAACCTGTTACATGACATGACACACAGAATTTGTTAAATGATCACCTGATTGTGTTACAGGTGATAATGTGATACAATACATGACACAATACCCATTTAACTAAAAGGGCAATGAATGTTTTACAGATAATACAACACATATAAACCCATAGGACACACACATGTCCAGCAACTATGTAAGAAGCATACATTCTTGTTGAAGTGAATCCACAAACTTTTAAGCGAGTCAGTAAAACATTAGTTATTATCTGATTCTTGCTGCTCCGTTATCTTACTAAGCCCAGTTTATGTTAGAACACCATGAAGATTGACTTAACAAGAGATTTCATAAACTCAGGACTGGTTGGCTGTTATTAAGAAAAATGTAATGAATGGTTGTCATTCACCAAACAATGCTCCAAGAAGTTGGGCATGAAACCAGTAGTTCCATAACACTGTTGTATTCATATTTTTCCTATGTGGCAGTCGTATCTCAGCATGGACTACTGTAATAATTTGGTATTCCTTTTTCGTTACTATGAGTCCAAAATAAGATCAGACGACGGAATTTTATGAAATAAGTTAGTGCATATAGTTGTTAAAACTGACAAGCATCATATAATCACATGATTACATGCAGTCAATTCGGAGTTTTGGATGTCACGTATTATAAAATTTGCAAAAGTACACAATGAACATTCGTGCAATTTCCCGCTCTACTATAATAACACTTGAAGGCTTAAATTGAATTCAAATAGGGAAGATAAGGTGTATGCATGAATAGTTTTAGGGTTTGTATTTATCACATAGGGGTTGTTATTAGACAAAAAGGGAAGTATTGGTTAAGATGTGACTGATGCAAGTATGTGACACAATGGAGTAATGCAAGTTGGTTAAAGTAGAGATGGGTGAAACTATGAAAGCAATATTGTATGACCATAATTTACTTCTAAGACTGGGGAGAAAAATCTGTAGGAGTATAGAACTGCCATCAGAAGATCAGAACAATATCATTATATGGATCAAAGTATCAAACCATTGGCTTTTATGAAAGAGATAATGAAGAAGATGCATACAGTGGAGATGCATCTTGGTAAGAAGGATGTGTGGTAACACTAGAAAATGTAAAGTTCATGATGAGGAAATCTGCACTAAGGCGGGTGTAGATGAATAGACGTGTGGTGAATACTAAAGATAAGTTAAGGGAGAACATACTTTGTTTCTTTGGGCATGTTTTGTACTATGTGGTTGAGAGGCAATCACTCCAGTTTGGAGAGTGGAGTGTTGGTTGAATATCTAAAATGAAGTTGGGATAGTTAAAAGAAATTGCCATATTGATTGAAGGTGTATAAATGGACATTAGAGGTGCTTTTGGTTTGAGGGGATGAATGGGAGAGCGTGAAGGGGATGGAGGGGAGTTCTCCGACTTGGAAGTAAGGAAAACATTAAAGGAATAGGAGTAACAAAGAAAATTAAGCTCACCTCCCCTATGTTTTTTAACCAAACAGGAGGGGAATCAACAATAAAGAGCAAGAGATGAAGATACTTGTGGATTATTTGAGATCAAAACTCTGATTTATTATTATTTATTTATTTAGAAGGGTTGATTTTGTTACTTATTATCTAAATTAGTTAGTTGAAGCTATAATTAAATGGCTTTATGCTTAAAACATCCACTTAATTAACTTAAACGGATCATTTCATGGTGTGTGGGTCATTTTGTTTTGTGATTCATTTGCAACCGAATTCTGTATAGTAAACCCAAACCCGTTCTTTATGTTGCACCATGTTGTTCAAACCTGTGAATTCATTCGCATTTTACTTTGTATTATTGTGTGTGTTTGCTTATATAGTTTTGATCCCAGATCATGTATATGCTTGAAAGCATTCTATTCTTGATTTTTTTAATCAGATTTTTTTTGCCATTGAGGGGTGCACCTCCTTAAAAGAATTGCTTTCACGTGCCTCTTCCATAGTTAATTTGTACGGAAAATTGCGTTTTAGTTCACCTTTATGGTTGTATGGAGATATAGCTATTTGAATCCACATAGTTGAGGCACCAAACGTCGATTTTTTTTAAACATTTGGTTGTTTGGTTATAACTCTTAGGCACTGAAATCCGGGGGTTCCAATGTAACCGAAGCACAGTTCATTTACAATGCCAAGCATGTGGAGGGATGATGCCTTTGAGATTGAATGCTGGTGTACCGCAAAACTGTAATTCCATTGTGAACTCATACTGCTTGCTACATTCTTTCTGCCAAAGTTTTTAGTTATTTACATTATTTTTTCCATATCATCAATGTGATATTATGATGATTTGACATTCTTGTTGACTTTTGAGAACTAGAAATTTCCAACTTTCATTCATCATCTGTTTTTATTCGGGATAAGGGTCAGTTTGGTCCTCGAAGTTGCAAAAAAGGGGTCAAATAAGTCCTTATATAGAAAATTCTGTCCGGACGTGCCGTTTGAGGTGGCTCCCGGTGGAATTTTTTGATGAAATTTTTTGAGCATCTTATTCATTAAGTCTAGTTTACTCATACCAAATTTCAGATAAAAATTCAATCGGGAAGACATTCAAATGAATTCTTGAAGATAACTGTGCCGTTAAAAGCGCTATTATCTTCAAGAATTCATTTAAATGTCTTCCCGATTGAATTTTTAGTTGAAATTTGGTATGAGTAAATTAGACTTAATGAATAAGATGCTCAAAAAATTTTATCACAAAATTCCACGGGGAGCCACCTCAAATGGCACGTCCGGACAGAATCTTCTATATAAGGGCTTATTTGACGCCTTTTTTGCAACTTCGAGGACTAAACTGACACTTTACTCGTTTTTATTCCATTTACATTGATGAAAAGCATAGATGGATCAGATGCAATAGACGCACAGTTTTCCTTTATGTAACTATAGATTGTGGTTTTCATTCTTTCTTGTACTTGTGAAGTGCATAAAAAATATTTCTCTGCTTGACTTGAATAAAAGCTTATGTTATTTACGGACATGCCATCTGAACTGCTTAGTATCCAAAAATTGAAATTCAAATGTTGTACATTGATATATTAAATCCTTAAAAGTTTCATAGAGCTACCTTTTGTACTTTCTACCATAAAAATGTGTTGAATATATTTACGCTATTTCAACCCAAAACGGTGAGCTCTTATTTGACTTGTTTTATACTATTTCCATCCCAAAATACTTAGCCATATTCAAACTTTGACCAACTATATATATTTATTGGAAATTATATATAATATAAAAATGACATGAAAATGTTCTTTGTTAAAAGTACTTTCGTAAAAGTATAAAATTTATAACTTTCATAATATTATACTAATCGAAACCATGATCCAAGTTTTAAGATTTGGCTAAGTATTTTGGGACAGAGGTAGTTTATAATTAAGCTGAAGTGCTGAACACATTTTTTTATTTTACATTTTATTGTATTTTGTTTCATCCATTTAAGGCAGTCGTTTTGAGTTTAGGAACCAAAAGCACCTCTAATGTCAGTATTAATTGATGAAGACATTAAGCAGTCTTGGGTTTGGATCTAGTAATGTGTTTAGGAACAGTAATTTCTATAACATGGCTCTATCGTTTTTTTTGTCATCTCCCTAATCTTTTTCTTGTAAAGATATGATAATTACTCCATGAGTTCAGGCTTGTGTGAATATTTGGAACTGTCATCTATTTTCAGGTGTAGGATGTAATCGAGCATTCTGTGCTGCTTATTGGCATGCTCAGGGAGTTAATGGAAGTGACTTGCAGCCTGTTTGCAGTCCTGAATCGTTCAAACCTGTAATAACACTTCCACCAAATTCTTCAACTTTCTTCTGCATGCTCTTTTCTTTGGCTTCAAATCTCGGTTTTTCTTTTTGTATTAAGTTTTTTTTTGTATTTATTCATTTGTTTGCTTATCATATTGCAGATAAAAGATCGTACAATCACTCAAATGCCATCTATCACGCATGAGAATAATCTGCATGAACAACAGGCAAGGACTTTATTTTTCAATAATCTAATTAGTTGATGTGTTCGTACAAGTTACAACTCTTGTGTGGTGGCACACTCTTGAAATTTTTCATTGTGCATGTCGTCCATAACAGATCACTGAAAGATGTATTGCGAAAATGGGTAAATCATTGCAAGATGTGGTCTCTGACTGGATTGTGAAATTTGATAATAAGCAGATAGGTAATACTCATGTTCCACTAACTTTACCAGTATACTATTCATGGGGTCAAGACAGTTCATTTTTGTTCTCTAGTTGAGTATCAAATTTTTATCATATTCAAGTTCACTTTTCTTTTTTTCATGTCAATAGAATTTTTAGCGTAGTTATAAGCATGTAAGTTTTACTACATACTTCCTCCGTTCTATAATTCTTGCAACATTGTGATTTTTACACTATTTACAGATCTTACTTTGACCATGATTTTCTACTAATATACATAATCAAATTATTACGTATAAAATGTTATTGAACTCTTATCAATGTGAATTTCCAAAATATCAACTTTTTATAATGTTTACTAATACATAATTAAATATAATTACAGTCAAAGTTGTGCATTGGCAAACGTGAAAGTCAAAGAATTATAGAACGGAGGATAGTATATATTAACACTAATTAAATATTGTTAGAGATGATTAAACGTTATGATCAGTCAAACTTTCATAGACCCTCGGTGTCAAAGTTTAGTGAGATGGAAGGAGTATATTATTGCTCAAAATGTAAAAAAGTTATTTGATATTCCCTCCATCTCACAAGAAAATCCCCACTTTCTTTATTTGGATGTCCCAATATAAGTGTCGCATTCCATTTGAGGAAATAATTGCATGTTTTATGCTTTTTTCTATCTATTTTAAATAAATCTGAGCCACAAATTTATTTTCTTTATCGTGTGCCCATTTCGGATGGGAACCTTACTATAGGTCTGGGAGTATTTTTTTTGGTCTGATGCTCTTAGTACCTGTATAAAGAAAGATGTGAATAATAAGTTTCTGATGATTTAAAAAAATGACTAACTTTCATCTTATATGTTTATTTGTATTTTGGCTATGCTTTTTCTCTCTTCCTACATCCACTGAATCACTTTAATGCCACATTCACCTTTCTTTACATCTGCATATAATTACTTGCTTTATTGACTATGTGTTTGCTTGAAATCATTTGTAAGTATAACAATGACGTTGAGCAATTCTGATTAAATAAAAAAGATGAAACGAAACTAAGAAAAATAAAACACATATGAAATGCTTAAAACTGAGGGAGTGAGATGTGAGAAGTTTGGAGGAGCCCATAGCTCCTCATCCGGTCCCCCCTAATTACCCTCAACCAAACACACAACACTCCTGAATATTTAGGGGTGAATGAAAAGTAAAAGGTTATGTAATATGCACATACTTTTGTGTCGATGGTCTCAGGCCCATATCTCTATTAGGGTAATCTTTTATTGAAAGATTGTTACTCAGAGATCTTTGTACTCAGTTTACTCCCTAAGTCCCTATAGACCTGCTTTGAAATTTAAAATGATGTGTTGATATTGTTAGTATTCTTTTATTGTTTTTTTCTTCAGACCGAACAAGAATGACGCTGAACCATGCCGAGACCATAACCTCTCGCACATGTTGTTGTAGGTCAGCTTACTAAACCCCAAAACATTGTAATGTGCATTAACTGGTTACATCCGGTTTAGTTTCTCTGCATATGACCAGGTTGAATAACCTATCTGTATTAAAATAAATATCATATTTTGCTGGTTGCTTTTTGAACTGTAGTGAGTGCTATGAGAAGATAGTTGCATTTCTGTTGTACTGGTTTAGGGTCACTCTACTAAAGCATGTAAGTGTTTTAATATTCTTCTTGACTTCTTTACTTCTTGATGCTTATCCCAGCAATTCTCTATCCCCCCCCCCCCCCCTCTCTCACACACACATATACATACATGCATGCATGCATGCAAACATGCATCCATGCATACATACATACATATATATGAGAGAAAAACATGCTCCAGAACCCGCCATTGGGCATCTTAGCATACCTGCATAACCAACACCTCATTGAAAATACAGAATACCCCTTTTAACTACACAGACCCCCTTAACACACCCCTAGCATAGCAACCCTTAAGGGAAATTTTGCAATTTAATAGAGGTGGTAGGTTTTGTAAAGAGCCCGATGGCTGGTTTGGAGCATTTATATATACACATATAAAGATGTGGCAGATCATAACTACATCTCAAGAAAATTATGGATAGATAAAATGGGCAATTTCATATCTTTTACATATAAAATGGGTTTGTTAACAACCCAACCTCATTTTGTTATTGTAAATTATCACGGATCAGTAGAGACTTTTATGTAGCTAACAGACAAGTAAAATACACCCTTTCTTATCACATCACTACATGAGCGCGTCAGGATAAGAATAGAAACTAAGAACTTGTTTAGTAGGGTGACTTTGACTAGAAATTGCTTTAAGTTGCTGACATCGTTGGTAAAAAATCTTATTAGTCAATAAAGTAGCTTCTAAAAACCACAAAGTGAAAGCAGCGGCATACATATCCATCATTTTGGAGTTTGAATGTAAAAAAACACAGATTTCTTATTCTTCACAAATCTTCGAAGTGCAGAGGAGTTATTCAAATACCGACACTAAACAGCTGAAAAGAAACTCCATGAGATACCTTTTTATAGGGAACTCAGTCCATTCAGCAGTTTGAGCCATATTGTACACTCACCAAACAGGCACAAAAATTTACTGTCTCAATGGCATGCGAGTGGAGTTTCACAATTTTTACATTTGACAAACCTGAATAGATTAGAAGTTTTACTTCTACTATTTCCAAACACAAGAACTTGCTTCATTATCCTTCCCCTCATCTTCTTTTTTTCTTTTTTCTTTTTAATTCTTTTTTCCTTATATATAAATATTATGTTATCATTTTTATGTATACTCATCTCTTTTTATTTTACCCTTTTTATGATAGCTTATCTTTTCTATCTTTATTTTCTTTCTTTTCCTTGTATTGCATATATTGGCTTGGAAACATGGTGTTTTCACCTATGGCATGTAGAGTTCCCATTTCTGGCAACAAGTTACCATGCCTTGGATTATTTGTTGACTACTACAAATATGTGCACTTTCAGAGTATGACAGCAGAAGACTCACAGAGGGAAGACTGCTGGTATGGGTATGCATGTCGCACACAGCACCATAACGAAGAACATGCACGCAAAAGAAACCATGTCTGTCGTCCAACAAGGGGCAGACACATGTAGGACCCTCATGTTTTCTCGAGTCGTGATGATTCACAGTATTTCTTGTAACAGAAGATATGATGGTAATATTGGTATATGCAGTGGTTTGTAGTGAAGGTAGTAGGTATTATTATCGCAAAGATGAATGCATTTTTATTCAGAGTTTCTGCGGTCCTGTTCCATTCTGCAATGAGGCTAATGGACATTTCCGAACTCTATCCTAATTTTAATTTTAAGTTTCTTCAAAAAGGTTTATCCGAAGTTCTGAAATCTCTAGCCTAGTTTTATTTTATGCTGTTGGTCCTTTGAATTTTTTAAATCGTTTTGATGATTTTAATGGTTAGGTGTGCTAGACTTTTGAGTTTTGACACTTGTCATATCGAAAATCCATTTGGCAGTTGACATTTGCAACTAGGGATGGACTCGGGCCGGGCGGCCCGGCCCGGAGCCGGCCCAGCCCGGTTACTGTTTGAACCGGCCCGGCCCGGGAACCGGTCCGGGGGGCGGTTCGGGTCGGCCCGGCCCGGTTACTGTGCGGTTCGGGCCCGGGCCCTTTGATTGGCGAACCGGCCCGGCCGGTTCGGGCCTGGTTCGGGCCAAATTATTATTATTATTTTTTTTTTGAATTTTTTTTAAGTTTTTTGGGTTGGGTTTAGTATTTTGGGCCATTTGAAGTGGTTTGGGGGTAAGGGGGGAGGATTGGGGGTTAATTAGGAAAAACCAAAAAAAAAAAAAAAGAACCGAGGCCTGGCCCGGACCCGGGATTACCCGGTAGTGCTGGACTCGGGCCGGGCGGCCCGGCCCGGTTACTGTTTGGCCCGGCCCGGTCCGGGGCCCGGTGGGTCCACCGGTTCGGTTCGGCCCGGCCCGGCTGCTGGGCGGTTCGGGCTCGGGCCCAGGTTTTGGTGAACCGGCCCGGCCGGTTCGGGCCCGGTCCGGGCCGGATTTTATTTTATTTTATTTTTTTTGAATTTTTTTTTAAGTTTTAGGTTGGATTAGGTATTTTGGGCCATTTGAGGTGGTTTGGGATGGTTTGGGGTTGAGGGGGAGGGGTAGGGGATTAAATAGGAGAACAAAAAAAAAAAATTGGGCCGGTTCGGCTCGGAACCGGGACCGGAACCGGCCACCGGCGGTTCAGGCTCGGGCCTCCCTTTCCTGGCCCGAGGCCCGGCTGGGCCCAGGCCCGAACCGGGCCCGAACTGGCCCGAGTCCAGCCCTATTACTCGGGCCGGTTCCAGGCCTCCCATTTCTGAATCGAGGCCCGGCCGGGCCCAGGCCCGAACCGGAACCGGTCCACCCATATTTGCAACCACATGGGTATGTAGGGAGCAAAATAAAATTACGAAACTAGCCAAATGGTTGGTGCATTAAAAGAACAAAAGAAAACGCAGGATTTTTACCAGGAAATAGGTAGCACAAACTGTAGATCAGTAGATAATATTTAGTACTAAACGAACTTGCATCCTTGAAGGACATATGACGTTTTTAATTGGACATACGAAGTACTTCGTTTCATACCAGATTAGGTTAGAGCACACTTGAACATATTAGATTGTACTTGGACAATAGTAAAATATATACTAGTATAAAATAGATCAGACAAGATTACAGAATTTCAGTCTAATTAATAACATCCATAATCATAACTCATAAGCATAGTTGAATGTTATACTTTAAAATTATATATTTATAATATCGACAAAGAATTATCATTTCACGGATAGATATATAAAAGAAACCAAATTAACAAATTTGGTTTCAGAAGTCAAGAAAGGGTCAACAAACACTACACAATCAAAAGTCCCGACGCAAATAATATACGAATGCAGTCCACAATTCCGCATCCCGTATGGCTCATGCTAAACCTAGCACATCTTATAGCCTCCCCAATAGGCCTAGTATCCTTCCTCTGATCTACAATTAAATTAGTAGTTCAACTATTTGAGTCATAGCTTTATTTTAAAAATCACACTATTTGATAACACCTACAAAATTGCGGATACTTTATTTTTAAATATTTATTGAACATATTAATTATTGTAGAATTTATAAGTATATATTCTCAAATATTAAAGGTCAAACGTCAAATTGTGAATTTAATAATGAGACGGATGCAACATGAGACTTCTTGAAGAAATGGTCCATATTGATTTGAAACCACTTCAATTTGTACACATGATGTGCATGAATAAATCGCAAAAGTCCAGACATGTGTGGCAAATTCTATGCAAGTGAAACAAGTTACATACATAAAATGACAATTTTTACGATAAAAAGGGGAATTTCTTAATAGATGCAAGGTAACGTGAATTTCAAAATATGTGAATTTCTCTATTGGATGCAAGTGATACATTACTCCATTTTGGAAAACCTCCCGTAATAAATCTCTACTCCAATGAAGAAATCTGGACCTACCTTTCACTCCATTTCAGCTCTTTTGGTTTCCTCAACAGTGCAATTTTACTTCAATCCGATTTTCAAAATTGCCATCTTTTAAAAACATTAAATTCTATTGTAAAAATTTCGATTTCATCGTAATAATGATTCGACTAGGCCGGTTCCATTTTGAAAGAACCGGAACCATACCCAGTTGAGCTAGTTCCCAGAACCGGTTCCCAAATTGGATTGCACAAATTTGAGATTTTAAAATTTGGGTCCACCCTACTTACCCAAATAATGGCATACACACTCTAGTACATACAAAACACAGTATATATATATACATAATACATATCCCTCGCCCAGTGATGGACTCGGGCCGGTTCGGGCCCGGGCCGAGCCTAGGCCCGACCGGGCTGCCGGTTAGGAAATGTTGGGCCCGGGACCGGCCCGGGTAGCCACCGGGTCCGGGCCGGGCCGGGCCTTGGGCATCTTACAATTTTTTTTCCTTTTTCTAATTACCCCCAAACCATCCCAAATGGCCCAAAATACCTAGCCCAACCCGGGGATTTAAAAAAAAAAAAAGTTGAAAAAAAGCCCGGAACCGGACCGGCCGGGCTGGTTCATGTTTTGGGTGACCCGAGCCCGGCCCGGAAACCCCTCGGGTCAGGCCCACCCGGACCGGTCACTGGCTGGGCCACCGGTTCGGGCTGGGCCGGAACAGTGCCGGTTCCGGGTCGGCCACCAGGCCCAAGTCCACCACTAGGTCCACTACCCTCGCCTCGGAAAGAACTCTCCACTTTGACTTGGACAGATCCGAGAGGAAAGTTAAAGTGAGTGAGTAGACTTTCTCAAGTAAAAACTAATTAAAATAAGGATAGTTTTGATACTTTCTATTGAAAAGTTACTATTTGTGAAAATGAGAAGTTTATTTTGGAATATCCAAATAAGAAAAGTGAGAAGTTAGTTTGTGGACACGGGTTGTATGAAGTAACGCCTAATATATGACCAATATAAGGATACTGAACAAAAAATTGACTTAATATACTTAAGTAATATTTTTGTCCATAAATTTTATTTTAATAATATTTTAGAATAACATCAACACATATACATGGAGTATGTGTATATACATGGATACATATGTATATATGTATTTTACTTGTAGAGAGAGCGGCTATTTGTGTATGGATAAGTTTCAAATGAAAGAAGATTTCCTTATGGAAAATAAACAGGAATATAGACTTTTCATCTGAAAAGACGGATGTATTAGATCATTGCTTATTAAAAAAGCGTGAGAATAATCACAATAAATAAAGTGTGCAACGTTTAGTAATGAAAGTGCAAAGTTTAAGTTAGGGATGGACTCGGGCCGGGCGGCCCGGCCCGGAACCGGCCCGGAACCGGCCCGGCCCGATTACTGTTTGGCCCGGCCCGGGAACCGGTCCGGGGGGCGGTTCAGGTCGGCCCGGCCCGGTAGGAATGCGGTTCGGGCCCGGGCCCTAGGATTGGTGAACCGGCCCGGCCGGTTCGGGCCCGGTTCGGGCCAAATTAATTTTTTTTTTTGAATTTTTTTTAAGTTTTTGGGTTGGGCTGGGTATTTTGGGCCATTTGAGGTGGTTTGGGGGTGAGGGGGGAGGGTTAATTAGGAAAAGCCAAAAAAAAAAAAAATAGAACCGAGGCCCGGCCCGGACCCGGGATTACCCGGGCCGGTTCCGGGCCTCCCATTCCTGAACTGAGGCCCGGCCGGGCCTCCCATTCCTGAACCGAGGCCCGACCGGGCCCAGGCCCGAACCGAGCCCGAACCGGTCCACCCCTAAGTTTAACATGAGTGCCTTTTATATCCACATATATTGTACAGATATTGACAAGTATACTATTTAAAAATGCACTTCTTTAAACCAATAATGCACTTTTATTATAACGGCTCCATTACAAGTTTTCAATATTTACTAATTACTACGTAGTACAATGCTACTACATTTTGCCTTTAGAACTTTAATCGATTCTTCCATTTTATCGAATCGAAGGCCTAATTTATTCTTATTTTTCACTTGAAGAACACTTTTTTTATATAATCAAATCCATGTGTATACATACATATATACCGAGTGTTCACATACACAGACCGCTTCTGTCAGACACAAATATGATCACTAGTATAACATTTCAAGTCCGAGCATCTTCAAGTCATTCACAACATTTGTAAAACTCACTAAGCATTACAATTTATACCACGCTAACCCACTAGACAAACTTAAAAAGTGAACACAAACAAAAGGTTAGGTAATCGGCACTTACTCCAAATTGGGATAGATGTTTTGATTCCCAATCCATCTAATTCCGGTTCAGCATCTATTGGGAATAAAAAGAATCCTCATATGAAGTAACAAGAGCACAGAGACTATTTGGGATAACTTTTGGTACCAGTGCTTTTATTTTATGATAGGGGATTTCTCATTTAAGCACTTGGAACAGTTGGAAGTACTTTTCAAAAGAACACCAATCTGGTGCTTCCTAAAACCAGCATTAAAAGTGATTTGATTTTTTACTCTTGTGAAAAAAAACTTTTTCATTGTCCTGTTGTCCCTTCTTCAAGCAAAAGCCATACTGTTCATGTAAAAAGCACTTGTTTGTTAAAAACAAGTTATCCCATTGTCTCCCTTATTAGTTACTAAAATCGACGCTGCCAGTTTGGGAGCTGCTGGCATTGCGACGGTGTAAGGAAAGATCCCTGACATGCCCCGTTAGAGCTGTAGGAGAGCTATTTGATGATTTGTTTTCCCTAAAGAATTTTTCCCTCTCGGCATGCTTGGCAGGTGGCGGTGGAATTGCAACAGCTGCTGCTTTACCCCTATCATGTTCCTGTTTATGGTCTGAAGACTCTTCTGTCCTTATAAGCGGACGGTGAAGTCTACTTCCAGGAACTGATGAGCCAAGTAATCCCCTCGGTTGATCTATGTGACGGTCTTCATCTTCAGATTGTACATGTGCTTTTCCTTTTCGCATTCTGTAAATTTTGAGTTGAAATGATAATTAATTATGCTTGTATAATAATGGGATGCAATGTACCTACCCCTGTCACCAAATATTTAAATCACTGTTTCTTCCCTCAATGAAAAATGCAATTGCTTGACCAGTGAAGAGTTTATCCTACACCAGTTAAATACAGATCACGAAATAACAAACCAATATAAAAAAAATAGGCTATTTCTCTTATTGGCTATTCGAAGCATGTCAGAAACTTCAAATTCCCGTTTCGGGGCTGTTTCCATAATTAATAGGAATTGCGAAACCTGTTTCCTTAAATATGTAGGGTTTCGGAAACCTTGATTTTTCATTTTTAAGGGATTCCATAATGGAAAATAGCGTTTTTAAAAATATGTGGTGAAAGTTATGGCATTTCTTCCTGGCAACATTGTGACATTTCATAATGCATTGCTAGAAATTTAATGCATTTTATTTTTAATTATGCTCTGATGTGTAATGATTTCTAAATTTGAACATGCAGAATGTACTAATTTTTCCCTTACAAAACAAGTTATATGAAAAAATCGATACATATAACTAAATGAAAAACATGTTTACATATATAAAAATATATCCTTATATTTTTTTAATATTTACACGTTTCCCCCACGTTTCGTATCTTATACGAATATATTTTAGAAATCACATTTCTCGCGTTTCTCTTTTCCCGTATATGTGCTACTTAGCTTATTGAGTTAGAATCAACCAGATCCATAGCCATGATTGTTCCCCATGAAAACACAAGTTATAAATTGCATAATCCATACGAGATATGTGGGAGTAAAGGGAAGGTGTCTACCCATTTGTCACACGTCATCTAAATACAAAATGTACTACCTCTCCTGCAATAGTCTATAAATATGCAATTGCATGTAGATTTTTAGCCCCGGAAATGAAACTGAATGGTACCTATTTTTTCCCTTATCAACTCATTTCCAACCAAACACTAACATTTAGAATTCTACTTATCTGAAATGGAAACTAATAATCCAACCTTTTAGCGGTCTTCTTACAATAATCCAACCTTTTGGTTATTCATGAATAATCCAACTTTTGCACCTCATCTTTATTCACTGGTCCCTGACCGGTTGATGACCTGCTATTCCAAGATATTTTCTTATCTTTGCAAATCATTATACCATAAATCTCATCTTTCACAAAGATAATATTTTGCAAAGATAAGAAAATAACTTGGAATAGCAGGTCATCAACCGGTCAGGGACCAGTGAATGAAGATGAGGTGCAAAGGTTGGATTATTCATGAATAATCAAAAGGTGGGATTATTGAAAGAAGACCGCTAAAAGGTTGGATTATTAGTTTCCATTTTTCCTAATACAAATTGAAAAGTAGAACAGTATTTTATTTGTTTTTGGCGAAACAATTGAGATGGAGACACCAAAGAAGATATTATGCCATTTGCAGTATATTTAAAGATAACCCTGCCTATTTAAGACATAATTTTAGCTAAATCAGTCAATTTAGTAATTCCTAGCCAAACAATAATCGACAAACGGTCACATATGATTTCCCATGTCTATAATACAGTATCTAAGATGCACAATTATTTACTCTCATTTGTCTTTTCTTCTAGCATGTAAAAAAGAAACATATTTAAGGAGATGTTAGCGGGATGAAGTCAGTGTGCACCTTTGTAGCAGATTTAAAAGCATACCTCCGATAAAGCTGTTCAGCCTCCTCCTCATCCTCTGGTTGTTCATTACCAGCAGGATTAGGCATTGATATAGACCTACCAGAAACAAGGGCATCATGCCGTGAAAGAACTCTATCAAGCTGCTCATTCACCTCAATAGCTTTAGAAACTACATCACCATCTCTGTAGATAAAAACATTTCTATATCTAATTAGCACAACAATAACAACTGCTATACTCTTCACTAGAATACAAGTCATAGTGGAGTTTTTTTAGGTATAAGAGATATGTTATTACCCACAAGTCATTGCAAGATGCATAACCCTTTGCTTCTGAAATGAACATTGTTCCACAAGATCAAGTGTGAACTCATCCTTTCCTCCCTAAAAGAAAAGACATGACTTTTTAAGGTAGTCATCCTAAGCTGCCCTGACTTAAACTGGCCAAACCCAGACTTAAATAACCAGACCAAACTTAAAATACCAAATCAGACAGCAAAGTTCAATCCAGGAGCATGTCCAAACGAAAATAAAAAGTGCAAACTCTTATGACTGCTAGAGGCACACAGTAAGACATAGTATATCATGATGTTAATAAGTTAATCAAAGGAATAGGTAGAATACCCTGCCACTACCATACCTCAGGAAGTTGAGGGTCAACAGCATCCATGACATCCCTTAAGATTTCAAGTGCAGCATTGGCTTTTTGTAGCACACTGTAAATTTTCATAAATGTTGTAAAGAGCCTTTTAGTCCAACTGTGTCAGCCTAAGAGTTAACTATTCTGTGTAATAATTAGACTAAAGTTTCAGTCCTTCCCCTCAAATGTGAAACAACAACAACAACAACATTACCCCAGTACCGCAAAGACTTCCCACCTACGGTAGTTGGATGTACGCAGTCATACCCCTATACTAGAGAACAGAGAGACTGTTTCCGGAAAGGGAAAAAACTACAGAAAAACAGCTGGGGCTTGAAAGCGGCTGTGACAATGGCTATGTTTGCGTATTGACGTTTCAGCCAAAACGCCATATTAGGATTAGGATTTGGACCGCCAAAAACCAAACGAGCCCAATGTTTGATGAGAAAGTCATATTTTTAAGGCAGATGTCTTCGGGGTTATCCGACAGAGCCATAATCCACTTGACTCAAACCCCACTTAAAGATTGAGTCCAATCACTTAGTTAGTTCAACCCAAGGTCTTATGAACTCATTTTCCTCTCTTTAATATTTCCACATGGGACTCTAATAGCTTCCTAACAAGATGAATAGTCATGTTTAAATACTTGGCATTGTTTCCAATTAGCCAAAAGGACAAATAACTATACCTAGAACCTGAATCATTTTTAGTCTCTGGTTGTGGTGATTTCTTTTGACTTTGAGAAGAGGCCAGCTCACTGCCACCAGGGTTATTGTTCTTACTCTCATTGGAAGATAATGAAGGCTCTTTTGGAATCACACGAGGTCGTTGACCAAACTGCACTCCTGCACTCTGAAAAATTTCATGATTATATTGGCGCCCACACTCTGCAGCCATCATAAATTTCAATAGTGAATATGTTTTTTGTATCGACAAATATAAGGCTTTTGTTTTTAGATCCTTGTAATTAACCCCACTTTATTTTCATTCCTCTCTGTGACCCTTACATTTAAAACAGACTTCAGCCAGCCAGAGATGCTTAAAATACAGTCACCCATAAGTTAAAAATGATGGAATGATGTAGAATTAAATATTAATCATACATAAAAATTAAGTGGATAGGCCACCTTGAGATCGGCGAGTCACGTTAATAAACAGAGATTGATTGTGAGGGACTGAAAATAATGTCAAGTGAGATGTCCTTTTCAGAACTTTTTATTATTCTGCAAATGAAGAATATTGATAGATGCCACTATTATTTTAGGTTTTATTATTATGATTTGATTTTAATACCTTCATGATTTAATCTATCTTAGGAAATGATTTTGTTGGATTTCCCTTTCCTTGTTCTCTGCATTCATATGCATGTAATCCCTCATAGAAAAGGGAGCTTTGCTATGCTAATAAAATATCAAATCATAATAAAATCAATCAAGCAAACCAATCAGCTATTACTCATTATTCTACTTGATTGCTCTACCTTTCCATAATATTATATTGTAGCATGCATCAATAATGTTCTGAAGCGTTTCAGCATGTGAAAATTATTCTTCTATACTGTAGAATTCATTAGGAATTTTATTTCATTTATTAACATCTTTTCTATGTGTATAGGCACTTTAATCCTTAAATAAACACACAATTGTCTTTAGACTCTCCTTCCGTATGTTACAACATATTTAATCCCAAGGGGTTTAATATCTTTCAGCCATTTTTATTTGTTGGAATCCCATCTCAAAGTCAAGAAAGAAAAGAAACTTGATGATTTTTCTTCGACTTTCTCTCTTAAATTATGTATTTCAACTTAAACCTTCAAACAACTTAGTTTACCCATCAATTAATCATTTACATGGTATTTTGTCTTAAACTCCATAATCAATGAAAAACACAAGCGTAGTGCTGGTGCATAATTGCTTGTAATGAACTCACTTTTAAGAATGACTAGCCCAAAGTTTTATGGATACATTTGTCGTTTTGTATTTGATAGATTTAAGATGACTTAACCGCCACAACTATGACAATTAACCTATGAAGAAGAATAAAAATAAAAGGGGGAAATGACGATTACTGTGTGGTACCTACCACTAACTCATGGTAAGCAGAATAGTACTGAGGGTACCTCCCAGAAATCCCACCAACAGATGTCTGTGCAGCATCCAGAAGATGATATATTTTCTCTTGTATAGCTATATCTGACTAGAAGAAAGTAAACAACTAATTAATATACATTAAAATGTTGACCAAGTGTGAATTGCAGTTATGAGATATAAACCTTTTTCTTTACTATCAGTACAAGCATTGGGAGGATTCTGGTATCTATGACCTGCTTATGAACAGGATCTCCAATATTGTTCAATAGCATTTCCAGCAACTGCAAAATTTACAGATCCCAAATACTCTTTGCAGATCAATATAACTACTGAGCAAGTGTTACCAAACTAAGTAATGGCGACAATAAAGTATAGCCTGTGAAATGAAATATCAATTTCGAAAAAGTGGAAGTCACTTACTGTAACTGCAAATATCTGAGTTGTGGAATTTTTACTTCCCAAACGCTTCTTTACAGCTTTAATAACTTCTTTAGCTTGGCTGATAAACATAAAAGCACAATAAGTTTTATATCTATGTATAACTGAAGAAATGATCAGATTGAACGTCTTACATTAGACTACCCATAAATCATTTCGACGGAAACTTAATGCATTATATAATTTAAGGAGTTCATCAACTGTCACAAAAATTGGTGCTACTTTACAGAGGCAAATAATAGGCACTTAAAAAATGTGATACACTTAACACTAATGTGCTTAACACTGAACAGAATTGAAGTAAAACATTTGAGGCTTTATATGGGGAGTATAGTTATGCTTGGCGACCAGATTAGTGACTCTGAATATTTATAGTAATTAAGAACAGAACAAATGTGATTGTTTTGAATATTGTGAATTCCTGAGCTGATAATGCACAAATTAAAGGTTAAAGTGGCCATTAAGAAGCATAGTTTCTTCATAATACATGTAGTCAAATCAAAATAAGTCTCAAATATATTTTCAGTCCCACTAAACATAATATTTTTTGTTTTAGGTCCCTACAGTTTTTATTTTAATTTATTTTTCATCATTACAATTCATGTTATTTTCTTTTTATGTCACTTGCACAATTCCACTCTAAAATTTACACGTCAAAGTCTATCTAATCATTCACATTTTTAATATAGGTCTCCATGGCTCTCTGGAAATAAATTTTGTATTCTGAAAAATGAAATTATATGAAAAAAGCAAGACATGAATCTCGGTAGTCAACAAGGGACTAAAAACAAAAGTGCGTAAAATAAGGAGATGAAAAAAACAACTATTTGGAAGGAACTGAAAACAAGAAACGTTATGTTTGCATAGAGTAAACACACACACATATATATAAGCATAAGACTTAAATTAAAACCTGCATAACAATAATAGGATGAAACAGATCCAAAAAAGTGACAAATGGCTGATATGTGGCACTACCTATGATCACGGGCAACTAATTCACAAATCTCAATGTTTTTCATCCAATCTGTTTCATTGAGTTTCTCACTTGTAGCTGAGTTTACCAGCTCTGTTGCCATATTTCTTCCCCAATATTTAATTGACAATTAGCATGAGTGAAGAACCCTGTCAAATGGTTCGAAGAATAACACTTAGAAACCCAATAACCGTCTCCTTTTTGTCATTTTAAAGTGCCAATACTTAAAACATCAATTATATCACCATACTTTCAAAAATCTGGACACACCTCATACTAAAATCTGAAGCAAAAAGCAAAATATAAATGGTGTGAAATTCCATATATATAATTATATATATAGAGAGAGAGAGAACTGATCTCGTCAGGCGCGCTTGACCAGACCCGCCGTGCGGACTTCCCCGTTTGAGGGTAGTGGAATTTTTGATAATTTTTTTAGTATGTTCCTCATCAATTCTAGTTTATGCACACCCAATTTCAGCTCAAAATTCAACCGGGAAGGCAGTTAAATAAATTCTTGAAATGTACATAATGTGCAGTATGTTTCAAAAATTTATTTAACTGCCTTTCTGATTGCATTTTGAGCTGAAATTTGGTATGCATAAACTAGACTTGATGAGGAATGTGCTCAAAAAAATTCATCAAAAAAGTCCACCTGGAAGACCCTCAAACGAGCAAGTCTGAACGACGCGCCTGACCTGATCAGTTCTCTCTATGTATGTGTGTGTGTATATATATATGTATATATATATTACATAATCCGTCTGTAACTCTGTATGTATGTATTTCTTCTTTGACGTTTATTAACTACAATTGATAGGTTGTGATCTTGCATTCTTGCTTAGAAATGGATGGTGATGATAACAGAACTACGGAAGGAACATTTGTAATACTAAAGTTCAATAATTTATCAATACCATTCATAGAGACCCCCGTTTCCCATTACATATCTTACTTGGGTGATGTCTTTGATTTCGTCTGCCTTAATTAAAAACACTTGAAGGAACTAAACTTTCTTTTCAAGTTTTAAGCAACTGAGAATCCTATAGAGGGATTGAGACACAAGAATGCATGAACTTCAGTTTAACTTGTCAAGTCAAAATAGTCAAAGTAAATGCTTAACAGCCCAGAGAAACAAAGAAAACTTCAAAACTGGCCAGGATGACAAATTTTGAAACTTTAAAGGCATGGAGGATTTGGTTGGAGAGACAACCATGGTGTTTGTCTCTCCGGAACCGTCCTATCTAAGATCTGGCGGTATAGATCTTACAAATCCTTAAAATCTCGACCCCGCCTTTCATGCCTGGCCTCATCTAACGCATTAAGACAGTTCGATTCCAGATCGGATGACTCTTGATAGACAAGAACAGTGCTTGTCCCTAGCTAGCTCCTCTAGAAGCAGCAAACCTTCTTCCAAAAGTGTCAAGAAAAGAACCATTCTTTCACATCGTATTCTGAAGAGAATGCTTTATTGGGTGCAAGATCAATGCATATTCTTCAGAAACATATCCCAGGAACATCATGAACTTAATATGCTTCTTTTCTGATGTCACTGCTACTAAGGTCTAAGCTTTTAGCAGCATCCGGTTAAAATAATATGCAAGACATTTTTTTCAAGGATGCCAGGAAAACAATTGTTTTGAAGAGGTATATCGATCAAAATTGCGAACCTGTAGCAGAATTGAAGCAGACACCCAGCAGACAGTGAATGATCAGCAATACATCAACAAAATGCGCGTGTCCGAATCCTTAATACTTGAAATATACTTTCAAAATGTTATTAATATAGGAAATTATCCCTTGCCTTAGAAGCTACGATGTGTAAATCTATATACAAAAAGCACATATACTATTATAAATCTGAACTATGAAGTCGAAAGGGTGGAATCTCTGATAAACTAACACGGGGGGTTTCTCTTTTGCTTTATTCTTTATTTCTTTCGCAGTTTACCGAACTGGACTACTGGAAATGAATAAATGATACTCCCTCCTTCCCCTTAAGTTTGTCCCGTTTTACTTTTTTCGTCCGTCCCACTAAGTTTGTCCCATACCATATTTGGTAACATTTAAGTGGTTAGAATTCATTCTTACTTTATTTACACTTTATCAATTCAATACCAACCACACAATTCCACTTTTTCTTAAAAACCACACCACACCCCTCTGTCCCAAACTTAGGGGGACGGAGGGAGTACCTTTCTCCTTTGCGTAAATGGACTGAGATAATTAAGCAGCGCGTGTCCTTTCCTGCTGTGCAGAGAGTGTTGGTCGGTTGGTCCAGACAAGCTGACAGTTGGTCGGCTAGTTCAGATGTATGCGGTCATCTAACTTTGGAAAAATGACATTTCTTACTCCGTACTCCCTCCGTAACATTCATATCTTTCCACTTTCCTTTTTTGGACGTAACATTTATATCTTCTCATTTCTAAATCTTCCAATCATACCCTTAATAATTTAAAAAATAATACACTACTACACTTACTTTTTTTTGGATTTATCCTGCATTCCATCACATTATTTCATCATCTTCCCATCATACATTCAATAATTCATACCTCATTTCACTATTCTTAATCTCACCTACTTTGGAAGTGAGAAGATATACGTGATACGAAGGGAGTATTTTTTAAGATCACAAATAATTTCCTTTATAAAAATGAAATATAATTGTCCATGCACACAAAAAATAACAAGTGGGTCGCAAATTATACTGTGGGACCGGCACACCATCCACATGGTGTACCGATCCCAAAAATGGCGTAGTTTTGTTTATTAAAAAACTAAAGACTCCATAGTAGCGGCAAGGGATGAATAAGGGAGCTGTCGGGAGTTGCCGCTCATCTGGATTGAAGCTCCTCAACGACGAAGTCACACTGCAGAGACGACATAGCTTGCTGCTCTGGACGGACTTGTTAAAGAAAAGGTCTGGTCGCGTTGCTGCCCATCTGGACGGACTTCAGCCGGGGATAGAGATATCAAAGACGGACTGATTCGCGTTGTTGGCCACTGGTGAAAGGTCGATTTGGCCCATTTATCACCCTTCAATTTGATAAACATCATGGATTTGGCTGATTTGCCCAATTTGACGACTTTCAATTTTATAACCTTCAATATCCAGCAAGATAAAGTTGGTGTATTGGTGTAGGTGTAGCCTACTCCGTATATCTTTAGCGGCTAGAAGAGATGAAAAGGGTGTAGGGCTTACTTTGTACCAAGTATATCTTATTGCTAAACTAACATTTCAAATAACACAATTTACAATTATTTTTATCTCAAGTTACATATCTATAAAAATGAATTACATGTCAACTTTCTTCAGCAAGTTACATCAAACTTATACGTGAGTTACATTTTATGTGTAAGAGTTATATCTTTTTAGAAGCGAGTTACATCTTCTGAAGCGCGAGTTACATTTGTAATAACACGACTTCCAAAAAAACAACCCCTGGTATTCAAACAAAAAAATGATTTTTTAAATCCTTCATAATATTAAAACCCAAACATATTCACGGTTTACATAAAGTAATCGTGCAATTAAACTCTCTTTTTCATTGTTTACATTGAAATCAATGTTTTATTTCTTATACTATGTATTTGATAAGTTACATTTCGAATGGACTTGAGTTACATTGATCAATAACGTGAGTTACATATCTTTATACGCGAGTTACACCGTTCATACTACTGGGACAAAAAAAGTTACTGTTCACGCGTGTACTGTTTACGCGATTTTTTTTAATTGTACAAAACTACGTCGTTTTAGATGTGGGAGCACGGTGATCACCGTGGGGTGATACCACGGTATACGAACTGCAAGTGTGTAGCTTGACGTGTACTCTAAAAATTATTGTGATTTTTACTGTTATCAATTATTCCTGACTTGTTTAATAAGAATATTACCCAAATAGGACTAAAAAGTTTAAAAATTCTAAAATAGGACTAACATGTATTTATCCCAAAATAAGACTAATTATTATCATGTTTTGGCAGTACCAAACTTCAAACATGGCAGTATTTTCCAAACATGGCATTAATTACTCCTATTTTGGGAATAAAAAATATCGATGTCCTATTTTGAAATTTTCAAGATGTTTTAGTCCTATTTCGGGAACTTTCTCCCCTTAATAATAGCTACAATCGAATAGTTAGAATACTGATTTGTCTTCAATAACACAATCCGCTAACTGTTATTTGATGATGTCAATGATGCTCTAAAACTACAAATTTGTTTTAGGGAGAATGATGTCTTTAGTTTTATTAACGAATGCCCTATAAATAGGGTGGGTGTAGAGTTACCAAAAATGAGCCAATATGGCCTGACAGCCCATAAAAGATGAAACAATTGAGCCTTAATAATGTGTAGAGCTTAATTAGCTGTTCAGGTGCCGCTCTCCAAAGCATTAACAATTTAACATTTAGTTGATTGCCGTAATTAATCCGTCATGAAAGAGTTTATGGTCTGGGTAAACTGGTAAAGTGTGAGTTCATTCGTGGTGACACTTTACATCCAGTGATAACTAGTACGGAGTATATAGTTATCACTGGATGGGAAATGTGTTCCAGAGTGAGTCTTCCATTAGAAGGTAATGATACAACTAGCTTAAAAGATATTTTAATTAATTTTATAGCAATTGCTAACTTTTAATGAATGAAAAAAATCTTAAAATAAAAATGTTGTAGTTGTTTGATAAAAGTTGACTCTTTGATTTAATCATGTTTGGTAAACAAGTTGTTGAGACGGGATAATAATGCTAATAGCTACAGACTTTTTTCGATGCTACTTACCATGACATCTAAACAAAATTAGGGAAAATTATGATTACCCCCTTCTAGTTTGATCATAATTATTAGTTCAACTTTATATTTTTAAAAGTCAACTATTTACCCCCTCAGCTACGATTAATGTTGTAATCTCCTCCTTCTATCAACATTTTCATCAAATGCCTATTTCTTTGACTAAAATACCCTTGTTTAGGGATTATTTGTTAAATCCTCTCATCTACGTATTTTTTTCAAAGTAGGGGGTCCGGTCCAGTCCAGTCTAGTATTTTGCCGAACTCGTACCATATCGTGACTATTGAAACGATTCGGTTCGATCTTAGACCCAAACCCGTTCAGTACGGTTCTATTTTCAAACGGAACGGTACCATATCATACTAATATCAAACAATGTCACTTATTCAAGTGTTTAAGTGGAAGTTAAAATTTAACCATCCTATAAAAATTCGCATAATTTATCAATTTTCATACTTCGTATTACATAATTATTAAATTTCAGATAAACTATAGTGGTACAAATTTTAACCGGTCATGACACTGTTTAGAATCGTTACGGTCAGGCTCGTGACAAAAAAATTGAGATCCCTTTCAAGTGTTGTTTTTCGGTCCGGTACCATATCGATCTGGTTTGACACCATGCCGGTTTGGTATTTTTGCTCACCCCTACTTCAAATACACAACCGAGTGAATTTTCCTTTAAATTTTCAAGTGTGCTGCAATGATGCTTGGGATAACATTAATTTTTTGTTCGAATACTTTTGGAGTAAGCCTGGAAACTTTCAGTTGATGTACTCTTATTTTATACCACTCCTTAGTTTAGTTTAATAGATAAGGACATTTTTGGGAATTCCACTTACAATTAACGGTCCAAGCAACTTAAATTTAACAAAAGGGGGATATTCTAACTTTAGTAAAAGCTTAAGGGGTAAATAATTCAGTTCTAAAAATATAAGGTTGATTTAATAATTATCACCTAACCCTCAAGGGGGTCATCATTATTTTCCCAAAAAATTATTTTTACAAAAGCTCAAATAAATTGTCATTCTCAACATGAAACTAGAATTTTTTAGAAACCTTTTAAATTGTACATAAGGTAGAATGTAGAGACTTATGTCTACTAAACATACACATAATCTCATTAGCTTTTACATTATAGTATTAATTTTCTATGTTTGAGTTGTGAAGTATGCATGTACCATACTTCAAAGTTTTTAGTTGTTGTGAGTGATTAGTTAACAAATGCGTTACTAGATATTAGCTTCATCAAAATTGAAGCGCAAACATGATATACGGAGTATATTATTAACATTGCATTATTATAATCCATCAATATCAGTTACTTGATAATATTGATCAACAATGGTGATCACAAAAAGCATCATAGATCAAAACCAATTATGCCGATTCAGGGAATGTGGTTCGCACATAGGATTAGTCGACAAAAAGAATGAGGCTCCAGAGGCAAATTGTGGTAGAAGCTAAAGAAGTTGTAATGATTTCTTGCACAACTTTTAAAATTTTTGAGGATACAGACATACAGTCTTTATCTTGGTCGGCTAATCTAGAATGGTGAGCTACTATGGCCATGGTGGCCTCACACTCTATTTCGTTGTGAAACAGACTCCTAAGGATTCTTGTTCATATAGGGCCTGTTTGGTAACGGCTGCAACGGCTGATAAGGTTGAATAGGCTGAATGTGCTGAAGTGAGAGTGTTTGGTGATGTGTTGGCCGAAATGGCTGATTGAGTGTAAAATTACTGTAAAGGGCATTAGTTTTTTGTGTTAAATATATGGAGTGTATGTAAACTTTGCTAGTAAATTAATTTTGCTTGATTAGGTAATTATAAGATTGCTTTAATAATTTCTGCCTCGGATTTTTACACATTTTTTTTGGAATATGAGCAACATTATTATAATTTTTTTTGTAAATAATATGAGTACATTTTGTATTTTTTTGAATGGCGTTCATATAATTTTAAAAAAAGCATTTGGAGCATTAAAAAGTTCACGTGCAATCATTCACTTGAATTGAAAAAAAAGGAACGAAGTATTTATTGGAGCATCATCAACCTTCAACCTCTTCGGAACTAAGCAGCAATACACTAGGGTAAAGAGTCTTTTCAATTTGCCACGGTACAATAATAAAAAGCAGCGGAAGAAGTAACCATATCCTTCCTTTTTCAGCTGATCATAAAAAGCAGCTCAAACAGCCCATTGATCAAGTGTTTGGTAACTTTTTTAGTATTTTCAGGCTTATAAGCCCATTTTGGGTGCTCCAAACGGCCCCATAATCATTTCTCTATTTACCACTCAGGTTCGTTTATATTTTTGTTGGCTCTCATTATTTTAAGTTAACAATTACTCCCTTCGTTCCAAAATGATGATCATCTATTTCCTTTTTGGGGTGTACCAAAATGATAGTCTTGTTTCTTTTTTCGGTAAAAAATTAAAAGTGAAGTATCATTTATACTCCTCCTTTTTAATGAACAGTAAAAGCAAAATGTTGAACAATACAATAAAGTAAGGTTTTTTGAGTCTTTCTACCACACTTTTTTAATCTTTGTGCCCAAAAAAACAAAACTCTCATTTTGGGACGGAGGGAGTATTCTTTTACTGGTTCATTATTTTAATGACTAAGACATTTTTCTATATGATGTTTTGTTTATGAATAAACTACACCAAATCTATTTAGGTATTAGAGTCTTCTCATAGTTAGGATAATTAATCAGGTAAGTTAAAGTGACATTTTCTAAATTCATACTTTCCTTTTAGATATACATAAACGTGCTATACCTTCACTAAAATTATGTTGTCAACTTATTTAAACATTTTTTGTTTCAAGCACACATAATATGTCCAATAAATATAAGAAAATGTTACAAGTACAGAAAAAACTTACAACAAACACATACAAATAAGGGATGTGGTTATTGTAATCACGTTTAATGTAAAGATGAAGTGGATGTGTTAAATAATATGATGCTGCCACATATCTCTTTTGTAAGTTTTTTCATAAGAATGTATGTACTTGTACCATAACTCTTAAATACACAACATACCCTTGTGATTGGTAGTAATTTAGTACTTGTGATTGGAATGTAAGGTCATGAAGTGCTCAATATGTATATAGATATGTTTTGTAGTAATGAAAACAAAGAAAGATTAAGGTAATATGCAATTGTATAGTACTACATACCTTTTAATATTAAGAGTCATTTATGTATTTTTTTTTTAAGACGTCGTGTTCAATATTTGAGTACTACCAAGTGTGTGTTACTTGGCACGGTAGAGGGCTGATATTGTAATGTGATGACCAACATAAAGGTGTTTGCCTGTTTGGAAATAATTTGACATGGAAACAGAGGAAGGCAATGCACTTGAAAATATATCAAAACCGTTGATACTTTGTAGCCCATTTTATTTTTTAAGTTGGTTGTTTAAAATGTGTAACTAGACAATCGTCTATTCACATATGCAACTACATTATCTCAGCTCGTTAGTTACTTGTAATTGACAATGTAATTTATTCATTTGTCATTCTTAATATACAATTGTCACTTGCAGCGATTTTATTTTAGCGTACATGTTACATGATTTTTAGTTTTTTAATCAAAGAGTAATCTTCCGGTCAGGAATTTCCTGACCGGAGCGCCGTCCGGCCTCCTCCTTTTGGAGGTCTGCCCGGTGGTTTTTTGTTCTCAAATTTTTTGTGTAGGTTCCTCATCCAGCCCAGTTCGTCCATATCAATTTTGAGCCAAAAATTCAATCGGGAAGGTCGTCAAATGATTTTTGCATATTCCGGACCAGTTAACTTGCAAAAAACATTTGGCAACCTTCCCGATAGAATTTTTGGCTCAAATTTGGTATGGATGAACTAGACTGGATGAGGAAGCTACACAAAAAATTTGAGCAAAAAATATCACCGGGAAGGCCCCCAAAAGGAGGAGGCCGGACGGGGCTCCTGTCCGGAATAATCATGTTTAATCAAAATTTCAGTGATATATTAACAGACGCCATGTATGAATCCAGATTATAGTTATTACAGTTTATGGATTAACTTCTTTACTGCATCAAACTTCATTTTACATGTTATAATTCAATAAGAAGTCCAACAATTAAATGCTTTTAATTAGGACGACATTACCATTCCAATTGCTCTACCACTTTGAACAAACAAAAATTCTATAGGTACCCCCAAATTATACCTTAATCTATACCCACTTCCCTGAATTGCTTGTGTACACAGGCAGTTCGCTTGAAAGAGGGCAGAACTTTCTGTCCAAATGCCTGTGTACACAGACGGTAGGTACCCCAAATTATACCTTAATCTATACCCACTTCCCTGAATTGCTTGTGTACACAGGCAGTTCGCTTGAAAGAGGGCAGAACTTTCTGTCCAAATGCCTGTGTACACAGACGGTGTACACATTGGGGTACAAATTGGAGTACTCCAAGCAACTCTGTTAAACAAGTATGAAGATGATGATTTTCTAGCATATATCCCCTAATACATGCACGATTGCTTTGTTTGAAATAGTTTGACGTCTTTGTGAGTTTGTGATAATAGCCTACAAATGTAACATGGTCGGAGTACAAATCTATTTAATTGATGTACGCAATTTGCCATAAAACAAACACAACACACATATCTTAAATACATAGACTGCGTTTGGATATTAGCGTGTTACCCAAACCACTGATTTTTTTTAAAGGCAAACCGCTGCATTTTGCAGCGGGTAGGCATGGACCCGCTAGAAAACAAACATAGCCATAATCACGTTAAGCATCTCCTATCGCGTACAACCCGCGTAATGATAACTAGTACTACGTGTTAGAAAGTTTTCTTTTGGATTATTTCGGTCCCAAATCAGACAATCATACCAAATGTCCGTAATTATAACATATAGATCAGACATTTATCATATAAGATTTAATCAGATCAACCCAACAAGCCTGATAATTGAACACAACCCAAAAGGAAACATCCTTATTATAAAGCTTTATCCTTATATAAATAGGAACACAAGCCTGATAATTGAGAGGAAATTACCTGCCAATTACGTTGATGTACCCCAATTTGTACCTCAACGTGTACACTGCCTGTGTACACAAACAGTTGGACAGAAAATTACAGACAATTGGGAGGTGGATACAATATGGGCTGTCTATAAAATTTTTGTTGAGGATTAGGAGAAGAGTTCTGGTCTGTATTTTTCCCTAAGCGTGTGACTGTGTGAGTGACAATCTATTTGCTGGACAATAACAGCTTAATGAATGAGCTGAAAGATGCGGTCGAGCTCTCAGGAAAACCAGCCTCAAATATCGATTTCAACGCCAACGCTCCTTTCTCAACCTCTTCATCCTTCATCAATTTCTCAATTCCGCTCGAAATTTCATCTCTCTTCACCGTCTCCGTTTCACCGGATGATAGTACATGTCCGACTTTCAAATGATCTGCGATCAATTTGGCATTGGAGAATTGGTCGCCCCGAATCGGCCATCCCAGAATCGGGATCCCTCTCCCCATCGACTCCACCGCCGAGTTCCATCCGCAGTGCGACAAGAATCCTCCGGTGGAGGAATGGCTTAATATCAACAATTGCGGCGCCCATCCTTTGATGATCAATCCCCTGTTCCCAATCCTCTCTTGTAAACCATGCGGGAAGTATCCTTCGTCGTTTGAATCGGTTGTCTTCTTCTTCTCACCAAATAGCCCGACCGGAGGTCCGGGTATGCCGGAGCCTGGTTGGATGACCCATATGAATGGCCGGGTTGATTCTTCCAGTGCACTGGCTAGCTCAGCAGATTCCTCCATGGTTGGGGCCACTTCGCTTCCGAACGAGACGTAGATCACCGACCGGCGTGGTTTCGTGCTCAGCCACTGCACCACCTCATCCTCCGTGAAATTGGATTCATGGTGCGACGACCGGACCTCGTGGTCGCGGAGGATCGAGCGGCGCGATTCCCAGAACTGCGCCGGCAGCGACGGCCCGACTCCCCAGATCGGTTTCTGAATCTGGTCTGATAAGTAATCGATGAACGGACGGTCCAGAGCGTCGCAGGTGTTGATAAGGAACGCGATTGATGACTCCGTCTCCTCCAACCACATAGGTTTTCGTCCAGGTCCGGGAGGCCCGTGTCTCATCCCTCCGCCGTGGTGTGGAGGAGAATGAGGCGGCGGTCCACGAGGGCCGTATCGGCGACGCCTCTTCATCTCTGAGTGACTCAGGGCCATGCTTTCGGGTAACCCGGGGAGGATCCGGATCTCTCCCGGTTTCATATCGTCGGCCTTGTTCTTCCACGCAGCGAACTCCATGGCGGCGGAGCACGCGCCGGAAGTGAAGAAAGAGACGGTGGGTATACCGAATTTCGCAAAGATCTCACTGCTCCAACTCATCATCGTATCGACCACTACGCAATCGGGTCTGGTCTTTCCCGGAGACCCGTCATACCTCTCTGACAAGATCTTCTCGATCCCATCCCCCATCTGCTGATGGTGCTGACGAAACTGGTTTCGTGGGTGACCCATCTCCGGCGGCGGTGGCGGCGGAGCAGGATCGGAGCTGGCATGGATTTCAACAACTTGTATAAAAGGATGGCCGCGGAGATCGGAGGGTACGGAAGAGGAGAGATGAGAGGGGATGATCAGAGTAGCTTTGTAATTGAAAGATGAGAATTTCCTGCAGAGCTCCATGCTGGGGAAGAGATGGCCTTGGCCGAAAAATGGCACAACCACGATCTCTCCTACCATTTCTTCCATCTTTACGTACTATGATTCCTAAGGATTTCGAGTGTTTATAGTTTGTGTTAGCTGCTACTTACAGCAAGATGCCAAGGCTGCCCCTTTCCAGCAAGCTAACAAGCAATTATATAGATCAAGGAAGTGTGAACATTGAATGATGATGAAGAAAAAGTTGATTGAAGTTGGTTTGGATCCACCCAACTTTTAAATTTTTACTATATGCCCACTCCTCGGGTAACAAGTTTCAAGATTTTTGCTTCTTTTAAGTGGGGCGTTTGGTCAAACCTTGACTAAACAGAGAGTGATGGAATTCAGACTCCAAAAATGAATTCTCTAAAGCCAAGGAATGTGAAAAGATTTGATGATGTTGTGGCTAAAATCAAGCATGTGGTCTACAAGATACTTTTTAGTATCTACCCACATGATTTGATAAATTTTTAAAGTGGAGTCAAGCTTTTTTGGATGCCATGACATAGACTATACATGGGATTAGTGTGTACCTTGTAGCGCCTTCATAGTTTTTGATTATTGATTTAGTGGCTGCACGGATGTATTATTTTGAACCTCTTGATGAGACAAGTATTATACTTGGTTATTTTGGCATAGATTAGATCAAATAAAAACCTCCTCTCACCCTCACTTTATGTGGAGGTGGGGGAGGTTTTAGAAGATCTAAGATATGTGATGTATAGTTTTTCTGGGTGTTAATATATATTTACATTTCATCCAAAAAAATCTAAAGCCAAGTTCAACAAGTCTGATATATTAAAAGCTCGGAGACTATTTTATGTGTTTGTTTATTATACAAGGCAAAGGTCATTAAAAGAAGACTAAAAATGTTTTTACTTGGACTGTAATTTACTGGTCTGATCTGGTCTGGGCTGGTCTGAACTAGTCTGGTCTGGTCTGGTCCGGTTTCTTTATATTTTTATAACTACCCAAGTCTGGTCTGGTCTGGTCCGGTTTCTTTATATTTTTATAACTACCCAAGTCTGGTCTGGTCTGATCTGGGACAAATTACCATCCAAGTAAAAATATCCTAAGGTACAACCCAACTAAACCATAACACTTGGGTGACCCATCAGTCTGCATCTATTGTAAATTAGCAAGTGTCATCCTATACATATATTATTACTAAACCGCATTTAGCGAGTGACTCCAATTGGCCGATCATCGATGTCCGCCCGCACGAAGGGAGCACTTATGAGTTATTAGAGGATATACCAGATCCAGTACATTCTAAGTTGTGAACTTGTGAAGGCAATCACCTCACAATAACATTTGCTTGTGGTGGTTGATTAAATGCAATCTATCATTTAGCTTCTCGACATTGTACTAGAGAAATCACTAAGTGAATATATTTGACGGTATTAGATTGTAGAAAAAAATGAATTGATTGAATAAAACTGGTGGGAAAATGACTAAGAGGGTTGCTATTAGCCTCGACTCTATAATTTGGTGTTGGCATTAGGGCTGGGACCGGTTCGGTTCTGACTCAAAATGAGTGGAACCGTTATAAAAGTTTAAACTAATGAAATCGGTTCGGTTCCTATATAAAAAATCAAGAACCGTTATGGAACTGAACCGGCAATAAACGGTTCGGTTCTTCCTTTTATCGGTTCCTAGAATAATTTTTTCTCATCTAAGAATTAACACATAATTTACTTTTTACAAACAACATAAACACGTCGAAAATTCAAAACACGAGTATTAAAATTTTATTTGAAGCTCTAATCACTTCAAACATCAAAGCTCAAACTTAGCTAGTGAAATGTGAACACTTAATAGAACAATGATTTTAATTTTCATTTAATAAATAAAACATAAAAATCATTGTAGTGTGGGAGCAATGAAGGTTACTCGTCATCATAGTAGCAAGAATAGGACACCTACTTCTAGTCTTTCAAAACATAAAAAAATACATTGAGTTCGCATGTATAGATATAAAAAACATTATTACATTCAATTGAGTCATAATAAATCTAATAATTAGAAATATCATGAAAATAGTAAAGTAAAATATGTGCAATGAACTGCAAATTATTTGGGTTATTTTATATTTTTAAAATTCATGTGATGCAACAAAACTTGATTTGTAGAAAGGAGTTTAATGTATTATATCTACCTCATGTACAATATTTATTACTTCGTTTTTGTTGATTAAATTAGAATTGTTGGTTAAATATCTTATATTATATTATATTATATTATATTATTATTATTATTATTATTATTATTATTATTATTATTATTATTATTATTATTATTATTATTATCATCATCATCATCATCATCATCATCATCATCATTATTATTATTATTATTATTATTATTATTATTGTTATTGTTACTACTACTACTAATATTATTTTATTTTTTTAATAACGGTTCCTTAACGGTTCTATGCACATATTTTTTATAGGAACCAGGAACCGAACCGTTATAACCCGCTTCGGTTCGGTTCCAACAAATGAGGTATTAATTGTTAACGGTTCGGTTCCTAGATGTTGTTAACGGTTCGGTTCTAATCGGTTCTACGGTTCCCGGTTCCAAAATCCCACCCCTAGTTGGCATCATCTCATGGCATAACATCCCACATAAACGAAGTGTATTAATCGTTCAGTAACTAATGACAAGGAGAGCAAAAATTACTTTACTACTTCGACAAAGTTGCACAAAAAATGCCTTACAGATTGGCCCTTGCACGTATGTAATGCAATTTAGAGTTGCCTAACATTGTTGTTTCTCAATACATTGTCGCTCACTCTGATTATGTTAACTTTTGAGTGTAATAGTGGTTTTCCATCCCTTTGCTAATGTTACGGCTTACCGAGAGCCCTCTCGGTTCGTAGTACCGGTGTGCGTGCGTTGGGGTAATGGTTTAATCAGGGCCGTCTAATGAATTTGGAGACCCCGGTTCTAAATGTAAAACAGAGGTCCCAAATTAATATTCTTTTTTTTTTAAAATATCAATCCAAATACGTATTCTCAAATAAATTGAATACTCATTAAAAAGAACTAAAAAGAGTAAAAGGACCAACGAAAAAATCATGCATCTATATTTTTCTTCCTTACTAATTGTATTTTACTGATTAATATTAATATACTCCCTCCGTCCCTTAAAACTTTGCCAACTTTCCTTTTTTGGTTGTCCCACTAACTTTGCCACTTTCCCTTTTAAGTAAAAAATTTATGGTTCCAGTTAATTCTCTCTCCTCTACACAAACCTCTACCACACAGTTTTTACTTTATTAATCCCCGTGCCAGTCAAACTTGGCAAAGTTTTAAGGGACGGAGGTAGTATAATATTACTCTGTACTATATAATACTAAAAGAAATTTAAAAATTTGGGGCCCCATAAATTCGGGGGCCCTGTTCTGGATAACCTATTGAACCCCCTAAAAAACGGCCCTGGGTTTAATTACCACTGTGCTTATTTGTGCCGTCCGGTCGGAGTTGGGGGCCCTCAGGGATGAGGTGTCATCTTTGCTAATGTTCAACAGATTCTCTATTGCTGCATTCATATTTCTCTATTGCTTTATCCATATCTTGCAACTTCCTTAAGCCTTTTGCCATTTAGGTTAGGTGTGTCCGTGTGTAGACTGTCGAGTACAGTTAAGTTGCACGCAAAAGGATCGCTTATTTTAAGTTCAAACATATTTTATCCTTCTGCACGAATAAAATGTTTTACATAGCATTTTACCACATTACAAGAGCTATAGAAAGTCTCCCATTTTTTCATCCATGCTTAAATTCAAACCAAACAATATCACTTTTGTAAAATGTTACATTTTACATGTGATTGTTAATCCCACAAAAATGAAACTATATTTCTCATAGTGTAAACCTATAAATTATTTTGAGACAAGAAAAAGTATATTAGAGCTTGTTTGGTTACCTTGAAAATAGTTGAATCAATTGAATTGGTCGAATATGGTGAATTGCAAATAATATATTTTATAAATATAATAAATCAAAAATATATGAAAATAGCTAAAACAGTTTCTTTTCAAACAATTTCAGTCAATTCAATCGAAAGAGTAATTCTACATTTATTTATTTTGATTATTATGTAATTCAATTTAAGAAATCAAAATTACCTATTTAATAAAAAAGTTGATAAGCCCAAAGTCTCCAAACACCTACATTTACTAGAAAATGGTCAAAATGATACTTGAAGTTGTTTCGACCGGAGTAAGTAGTGCTTCATCTTGCATTTAAATTTTTACAGTACATGAACTTGTATTTTTATAGCCGATCAAGTACATCTGCTCTGTCAGAATGTTAAATTAGCTAACTTGGCCAAACTATTCGTTTGTATTATACAGTTGCAGTCCAAGTCATCAAATCCACTCTACATCTTATATTTCTCTCGTATGTTGTCCCCGATGTCCCGTTGGCTTCTTCTTTTTACTCTATTTTATTTTCTTCTTCTCTTGCTATAATAAAGATGAACCGATAGCAAATAAAAGAAGAAGCCCGTGGGATGGCAGGGAGAAAAGACAAGAGAGAAGGAGAGCAACACGGGCAGAGCTAGAGGGGGCTAACCTAGGCCCTGACCCATCCTAAATTTAAAAAGTGCCTTAATTTTAAAGTAAAAATTCTGTGTAATTTTTCTCAAAATATTCATGTACTGCTCCAATGTGGCCTAGTGCTCTGGCTCCGCCTTTAGAGAGCAGACGAGAGAAATATAAGATGAAGAGTTAGAGAAGTGAAAGCAAAAGTGGAAACGAGTGAGCTAGAGAAAATTAGAGTTTATATATTAATAATTTGATGACTAGGACAAAGGTATATTACAAACCGATAGTTAGGCCATGTAAGCTATTTTGTAGTTTGTGTAGTTTGTAGTTTCAAGTGTGAGATAGAGAAAACTACTTCCTCCACTTGAAACAACTTCATGTTCCATTTTGACTACATTTACTTGTGCACCTCCGCGAGAACAACCCATATTACATTTAAGACGTTTTTACTTGGATTGTAATCCGTCCGAGATTAGACTAGACCAGACCAGATTAGACCAGACTTGGTTAGTTGTAAAAATAAAAAGAGACCAGACATTATCAGATCAAACTAGACCAGACCAGACCAAACTAGCAAATTACGGTCTAAGTAAAAACATCCTAGATAAACCATCTTGCATTTTCTTTTCTTTTTGACCATTTTTGACACTTGATACGGAGCAGTTGACACTTCGCTTGAGTTTAGCTTTTTAGTCCAGTGGTTTAGAACTCAAGTAGGAAAGCTAACTTCACCTGTGTGATTTCTGCTGTTCGGACTTTCACATCCACTTATCCAACGTAAGTTATGGCATTCAGCCGTGGGTCTATCTTTCTCCGCCGCGCCATCGCCGGTCGCAACCTCCTCCGCAAAAGTAGATGTTCCCAAACGGCAGCAGCCTTCGGGGGATGCTCTCCTTACCATTCTACTTCAAGCGGTCACGGTGGCGGTGATTGCAACAAGAGACCCTTTAGCTCCGATGCCGCTTCAGCATATCATCTGCAGGGAGGTCCGTCCTACATGCGCGCAGCCGTCTTTTGGGAACCGAATAAGCCTTTAACTTTGGAAGATTTCCACATGCCCCGCCCCAAAGCCAACGAAGTTCTCATCAAAACCAAAGGTGCAATACATCTTTATTGAATTTGGACGCTCTTTTGAAGTTTTATTCCTCTGAGAGATATACTATTGAAGGCGTGGTTTTATTAATTTATCTATTTTTTGAAAAAGAATTGATCTTGAAAAGAGGCCAACGAGATAAAGGAACGAATGAGTAGGGGGTGATCTTTATGTTTCATAGCAGTAGTGCAGTTTGTGGTTCTTGCTTACCTGCTTGGATAGATTTAATTATTTAAAGTTTAAGTTTCCCAGCCACTTGAATATTTGATCTTTCCTCTGAATGATAGTAGTCACATTTGCATCAATAGTAGGAGTCTAAATGAACTATACCAGGCCAAGATTTGAGCTGTTTGTTTAATTTTCAATTATTTTAGAGCGTCTGTGGTTGTTTAAATGGTGAAACTCTTATTCGTGTCAGTTCTTTAGTTATAGTTAATGTTTAGGTGTGTTTGTGGAAACATTTCTTCATGAAGATTACGGAACAACCAAATGATGTACACTCTATCATAATTAGTTCATGAACAATCAATTAACTATGTCTCATTCACTTCTTTCCGTTTCTTGGTCTCTGTCTCTTTATGGCTAGCAGAAAGAAATCTCAACTGCTAGATCATTGAGTTAGGGATTATCGAATTGAGGTTTATTTGCTAGCCATTTCGAAATTGTGTTCCTTTTGTTTACTTTTACTTGCCCTACTTCCCTTTCAGGGAAGTTTCAGTCCAACTTTTCATTTCAGGCACCTTTTCCTACTTTTTCCTATTTAAAAGATAACTTTAATTTTCATTCTTTCTTTCCAAATTCATGTTAGCCAACCCCAAAATCTTTTGGGACTAAGGCTTGGATGTTGTTGTTGTTGTTCATATCTGCTCGGCTACTTTTACTTGTCACTTATGAAATAAACTTATACGTGAATACTTTCTAACAAACACTAAAAGTTTTAATGTCCATGAATATTACTCCGTAGCAAATAAACACTTGGCGAGCTTGCTGAGAAACACGCAACTATTGTAGTTCTGTTTGCCATTTATACTTTATGCTTATTTGATTAAGTGAACATAAACGCATAAAGCTTATCCAAAACCATTTTCCAAGTGCAGCCCCCCTAAAAAACTAGTACCCTTGGTAGTTCATTTAGTTAGTGTGAAAAGTCTACTACGGCAATTGGATCTCATTTACAAGTGCATATGATCGTTTTCTTCTGCAAATATGATAATTCTGCTACTGAATTTTTTTACCAAGCAGCATGTGGAGTCTGCCACTCTGACCTGCATGTAATTAAAGGCGAACTTCCTTTTGCAAGACCTTGTGTTGTGGGGCACGAGATAACTGGTGAGGTGATTGAACATGGCCCCCTCACAGACAGTAAAATTGTTCAAAGGTGTTATACTCAATTTCTTATTAAAACGGTGTATTATTTTTCCTGTATTATAGTTAAAAGATGTAATAAACAAGGTGAAAGCTTTATTTTTTCTTCATTTATATACAATGCAGATATCCTGTTGGAGCTCGAGTGGTTGGAGCTTTCATCATGCCTTGTGGTAGCTGTAGGTTCTGCTCAAAGGTGACCTTTGAAATATCTTTTGCTAAATAAGAGCACTGTAGACCCCGTTAATATGTTCAGTTTTGAATGAGAGCAGGGTCAAGATGACTTATGTGAGGATTTTTTTGCATACAATCGAGCTAACGGAACCCTTTATGATGGTGAAACACGACTGTTTTTCCGCAGCAATGGTAATATTATTTGTTTTTTACTTGTGGATTAATTCATATGTTTTGAAAAGAAGTGTACAATTTGATTTCCACTTTCTTATGTCAATCGGATTGACATGAATTGCATGACAGCGACCCAACAATTCTTGGATGAACGTGCATATTTACTTGTGGATTAGTTGAATTGCAGACCATCAACTAATATTTACTTGAATAGCATATTTACTTAAGTTTTTATTAGGTTGTGTTTGGATGGAGGGCTAAGTCTATATCTTTATGATGAAGGGTGAAATTTTTAAAAGGGGTAACATAATAAGTGATATGGTAGCATTACAATCCCTCTTTATTTATAAACATTCTATTTATCAAGACATAGACTAAGCCGTCAAAGCCTTCCCTTCCAAAACACTCCATCTAAACAGACCATTAGTCTTGAGGTCTTCCATTTCCTAACGTGTAGCATAGGACACTTATTTGGTTAGTGTGTTGACTTTTCAGGGAAACCAGCGTATATGTACAGTATGGGAGGTCTAGCTGAATACTGTGTGGTGCCAGCACATGGATTGGCTGTTCTACCCAGTACTGTACCTTATACAGAATCTGCTATTTTAGGATGTGCAGTGTTTACTGCTTATGGTGCAATGGCTCATGCTGCCGAAGTACGCCCAGGTGATGCTATTGCCGTCATTGGAATTGGTGGTGTGGGTTCAAGGTAATACTCAATTACTCTCTTCATCCCATTTTGTGAGATAAACTTTCCATATTGTATTGTCCCATAAATATGAACATTTTTTTAAATTAAACACTATTGAATATTTAATTTCCCACTTTATCCCCCAATCTATCATTTCATTCTTACTTTTTGTGGACCCATACGACTTTATATTACTCTTTGAAGGTTATAATTGTAAATCAACTACCGGATCTTTTATTTTCCCGCTTCAAACTCAATTGCATCTTACATTACGGGACGGAGGGGCTATTAGAGACCTCCCCTAGCATGTAATCTGTTTGTAAAAGCATCTCATGTACAATAATATGCACTACATGTCATTAGAGCTAAATACATTAAAATGAGAATGGATTTTTACTTTCTGTGTTTTCATGTTTTTATGTGTTCAGGTAATTTTATTGTCTACAGTATAAAACATAATGTCTAGTTGTAGACATTTCGTGTGGCATCATCAAGAAAAATTTACCAAAAACGTAGAAAAATGTGGAAGTGAAGAAATACAAAAGTTATTTGCCTATTTTTACCGTATCTGTCTTTCTCATGCCAAGTGTGCACTGTGCATATTGTTGCATTGGATGTGCTGTATGGAGTGTGCATAGGTTAGCAACACATCTGTGATTTGAAATTAGGAAATACTCCGTACAAATTTTATAGATAGCTGGGTATATTTTGATTAATGGCAGGTATACATATTAAATGGATAAATTACTCAGCAGATGATATTGGATTTAGGGAAGTGTGATTATCATCGTCATCATCATTACCCCAGTGCCGCAAAGGCTCCCACCTATGGTGGGGTAAGGGGGGGGTCGGATGTATGCAGCCTTACCCCTGTACTTAAGCACAGTGATACTGTTTAGGAAAGTGTGATTATGATGAACATAAATTGTGGCCAAATAATAACACTATGGCATGAACCAGAAATAATTTCAGTTGAGCTTTGATGATGGGATTAATGGCTTTTAAATGCCACCATTACTTAAAACCGGGGAAAACTTTGTGTAGCTGTCTGCAGATAGCAAAAGCATTTGGAGCTTCACAGATTATTGCAGTTGATGTTCAAGATGAGAAACTAGAGAAAGCTAAGTCCCTTGGAGCCACTGACACAATAAATGCACTGAATGAAGATGCAGTGAAGAAAATAAAGGTACTATCTGTTTTCTCTCAAGGTCACCTGTAAGCGAGGATTACAATAAGGGGTTTTGACATCAATATTACTAAGAAAAAGTCTTGGAAAAAAATAGGGCTAAATTTAAAATAACAGGTTTTGACATCAATATAACTCTACTTTGTATAAGTGACTTATATGACTTTTATACCCCACCCTCCCACGTACAGACTTGACAGTTACGTCATCCGTTAGTGACCACCGTCCTACAGTGACCAACGCTATTGAGTGACCACTGCTGTCCAGTGACTCGCCGTCGCCTGCCAGTGACACGTCTTCGCCCGCCAGTGACTCATTCCCGGTGACTTTCCATTCAGTGATCCATGGGTTTTTTAAGAAAAAGTTATGAGACCTATTTGACAAAATGTGTTATCCTTTTTATTGTGTTTATTAAATTCTCTCATCCATAAAAAACAGGATGTTGGTAAAAGATGGTGTGTAAAAAAGTCGCAATTTTAAGGCCTTTAATTGATTTTAGGTGGTCAAATGGACAGGAAATTACAGGTGGAATGGGTGTGGATATTGCAGTTGAAGCATTGGGTAGAACACAGACATTTGGCCAATGTGTACAAAGTGTTAGAGATGGAGGGAAAGCTGTGATGATTGGGCTCACTCTCTCTGGCGCTAAAGGGGAGGTCGATATTAATCATTTGGTCCGAAAACAGGTCTGTGTGTGTCACCTATAAGATCAAACAACTTAATATTCTTTTCTAAATAAATGATAATTTGCATGTTAATCCGATCCATATATTTGAAAATTTAAGCAGTTGTTGAATAATATGATTCTATTTTGTTTTACTAGTCATGTAGTGACCCCCGGTTTGAGGTGGGATGCAGACTGGTTCTGATTTGTAAATTCTTTATGCATCTCTTGAACAGATAAAGGTGATAGGGTCATATGGGGCCAGAGCAAGACAAGATCTTCCAAAGTTGATTAAACTTGCCGAGAGAGGCATCTTCAATCTCTCTGCAGCTGTTTCTAGGAAATGCAAACTCGAAGAGGCCGCAGAAGCGTACAAAGATCTTGATAAAGGGAATATCACTGGCCGTGCTGTTGTTGAGCTCATGTAATCTTGTTGATTGCTGCAAGAACCAACAGTGAATTGAACCTTTTTGTTTAATTCCTAAAGTAATGTAAACAGCTACTCTACTCCACCGGATTAACATTTGAAGAATTGTTTTATCATGTTGAATGTGCAAATAAACATTCAGTTATCATTCTTTTGTTATTATGGGGCTGTATTGTTCTGGAATGACAAGTATAATTGACCGTGAAAACGGGCTTTACTCGTTTTCAAGGTGTGTTTTGGGGTGGACACGGGCTGATACCGTCACCTTAAGGTATGAACTTCAACTAAGATTTGTAATATTGGTCTGGTTCTTGATATGTTAGCAATGGCTGTTCAAGAGTCAGGTTGATTGCTATCCGGCCCTTGAGGAATTGGACTATAAAGTAGACGGTTACTAGTACTGGTTTCAGTTCCAGACCAGTCGGCTTGATTGGGTTCAGGTAACTATCTTGTCGATTTCGTTCCCCTAAGAACCTGTACCAGGTCCAAGTGTCCAACGCTGGGTAGGTCACATCAATGTGTGATGTTATGGCTCACTGAATGCATGTCCGTGTAGAATGAGTTTTGATATTGTTAGATTACACTTTTCACATGAATCTAACAGTCCCATACTCCCATCTCCCTCATGGTCACTGCTCAACAGAGTAGCATGTGTATATCTTCATACTCCGTAATTCCGTATTACGCATCTTGACAAGTGCATAATCACATGGTTAAACTTTAATGTCGGTGCTCTTTGAATTTGTTGTAGCCTTATGTAAGTCAAGACAAATTTTTATGCACTGGTTCAGTTCAATATTAATAAAGAATCACACGCTTTGAAAAACAATTAGTCCAGCCATCTTGTAAAACTTAGCCAAAGTCTAATTACACGTGAAACAGTAAGGTGAAAATTGTGTGATATATATTTGTATAGAGAAAGAAATAACTTTGATGTCATACTTCATACCACCCCCGTCTCTTAACATTTTGCCCAGTTTGACCGACACGGCGAATAATAAAGTAAAAAGTGTGTGGTTAAGGTTTGTGCAGAGGAGAGAGAAATAACAGGAACCACAAAATAATTGATTAAAATGAAAAGTAGCAAAGTTTTTTGGGACGTCTCAAAAGGGAAAGATGACAAAGTTTAAGGGACGGAGAGAGTGTCCAATGATTCTTGGTCAAAGTTGACTTGCACGTACGTTGAATATAAAGTAAAAAATTGTAATTAAAATTATGCAAAGGAGAGAAATAATTTTAACCAAATATTTATTGCCCCCTTCATCAAACTGTAATTGTCCCATTTTTGCTTTTATGTCCATCCAACAGAGTTTGTCTCATACAATATTTGTGTGGTTTAATTTATTTTTACTTTATTCATAGTATATCAATTAAATATCAACCATATAAATCTACTTTTTTTAAAAAAATGCACCATCATCTTTTGTCTCAATCTTAGAGCACAGAGGTAGCACTTTAAATGAAAATGGCAATCTTTTGAACAACAAAATAAGGAAAGTTGACAAAGAAAAATGACAAAATATTACTTTAAATGAAAATGAAAATATAATTTTCATTGTTCTGGACGGTAACCCTAAACTACTTCGGCGCCACAATCTACCTCCGCTCCAGTCTTGGCCGATGCTTGTCATTTCGTATACATGGCCTTGTCGCCATTAGCAAACGTCCCATTCCATTCTCCAGTAGGGATATAGTCGGCGGTCGTTGTCTAGGTATATCCTAGGTTGTGTTTTGGCGGCTGTTTTGGCTTGGTCCGGCGGAGTTTTTTTCTAGTTTTTGGTTGGATTAATCAGGCGTTCGTTTTGGATTGGTTCGGCAGAGGTTTCCTACCAGCTTTTGGTTTGAATTGATCAGACGGAAGTGTGTTTTGTTTCTTTTGGCAACGACATGAATGTGCTGGATCGGAATTGCAGGGGGATTGGCAATCTAGCCACGGCTCAGAGGTTGACAAATTTGGTTCCGGCCCACGGCACGGGTGATGAACAGACGGGGAGCGAATGAGCGATGAAGGGTTGAGCAAGGGAGAATACAGATCGGCGGTCCGTCCCCCTCCTGAACCGCCGCCTTCAATCCAACGAGATGCCAGAGTTTGGAAGATGATATTTCAAGGAACCAGTCAGGATGGAGTTTGGAGTATTTGTCAATTATTTTATTTTTTATGGTCTTATTTTCGTGTTATGTTTGTTTACGATATTTCGTATTTTGTTGATGATTTTAGTTTTGGGTCTACAATAATGATTGTTAATTCCGCTAGATATTATGTCGTTAAAAGGATCTATATGACCAGTGATTGTTGTGTCACACTCGTTTGGTGGTTAGCGATTCGTATTGCTCTAATGCTCTTTCAAGGGTGATCGTCTCAGAGTCTAGCCGTAGGGTTGATTGTGCTAGTTGGTTAGGGATAGTTGTTGTCAGAGTTGATCTATTGGATTCCCTCAAAAAAAGAGTTGATCTATTGGAGTTTGTTGTAACGATCCGATTCTTAATGACTTTAATATAAGAGTTGGATTTGATGATAAAAAAAAAAAATCACGGTTATTTCAAAATAACATGCTACATTGCTACTCCGTATATAATAGGTCAAGAGCCCATAAAATGACCTGATTAATATAAGAGTCTGCTTAGATCTTTTTCCTACTTTAAATAAACATACTTACGTGATCACTTATTAATATAAGAGTTTGAAGTGATAAGTTTTAAATAGCAAAAGAGTCTAGTGTTATGTAATATGTGGATGTCCATTACTCTCTCCAACCCATGTATTCGGCCCATTTATCTAGTAACCCTAATCCCATCTCCCTGTATAAATATGTGTTATATGCTAATGAAGAGTTAAGCTTTTGATCTGGTTTATTATACGTATCAACACGATAGGGCTTTCTTTTTTCGTGGATTTGGTGTTTTTTGGTTCTCAACTTTCCTCCGCTTAGTTAGTAAAAAAAAAAACTTTCCTCCGCTCAACTTTGCCTTAGGACCCATCCATCGAGCTTGATCGACGATACCCAATCTTGCCGCCAACCTCAACTACACCCTCCCTCCTCTAGAATTTGCCGCTGAAAACAGACTTCCCGGAGTTCCTTACCAGGAAAGAACATTTTCAGCCAGACGAAATATGATGGACCTGTAGTCCTAAATTTTGTGAATTATGATCGATGTTTATGGATGAGAAGATATTTTATATTAGGCCTGAAGTCCCATAAATCAAGATATTGTGCACGTGGGGTGACAATACTTGAGATTGAATGACTTTGAGACTACATTCCTCATATAGTTTAAAGTTATGTAAATGTGGCAGTTGATGAGAAAATTGGGTGTCATTGCTATAATATCAATTGTGTGTCCTTGAAGGACAATGGTGAAAAGAAATATGTGCACACAACATGTAACATGAATGTGAATTCTTTTATGTCTATAATAATTAGATAGAAACTATGCGTTTAATTATAGACTTATCATTATTGTACTTGGAATTATTTTGAAAAAGAATTTGGAATTGATTGAATAACTGCAACAATTGAAAATGCAGTAAAATTCTAAGCATAGTTGGAAATATAGAAAGAGATGCTTGTGCCTAACCACAACCTGGGTGATCACATTAAGTCTTGATGACATGATTTATTTTGTAGAAGAACTATGCTTGATTATCATGGTGCAAATTATTTTATTTAATATCATGATTGAACAAGGTCTTTGCACCATGTGAAAATATCACTTGTAGTGAGTGCCTCCTATAGAGGATCTAATGTGAACAATTTTCTTATGTGTTTCACATGATTTCATGACTAGAATTTAAACTATTTTAAAGTGAACTATATTCATACTACTTCTCAACCTTTCCTACAGAAAGAGTTGAATGAGGACTAATTTAGATTCGAATGGTGTTTGATTGTATAATAAATAAATATCTAGTCATTACATTGTGAACACCTGAAGTGTTTGTATACTAATTTGAGATCCTAGGAGGATCAAAACATGTCCCTTTTAAATTTTTATGGGCCAATATTTGAGAATACTCAATTATTAAATGTTTGATGTGCATATGAGCATTAACACTAAATTTGATGGTCTTGAGATACACATTGCAAAATCATGAGTTTAGACAATTGCTTCTACTTAGAAACTCTTGAAGAGTTTGGTTACTGATGTCCATCAAATCTGTATAAATAATGATGGAGGTTTTGTATACTAAAGATTGTCATGAGCTCAAATTATATGAAGTGGATTGAGGTGAAACAATTAATTGGTCCAGAAGACCATGTGCTGTTCCTTTTTATTTTCTTAGCCAAGTTTTTTCCCAAAGGATTTTCTTGGCCAAAGGATTTAAGTTATTTTTTGTTTTAAAGAATGAGAAAGATTCATAGCGTCCGGAAGACTGTTATCCTCTAGAAGAGAGATTCTAATATTAGTTCGGAAGATAGTACCCTAAAGGTCTTAATTGGTCCTTGTGAGATCGAACAATTTATTGGTCCGGAGGACCATATGCAACTGTACTCTTTTTCCTTAACCAAGTTTTGTCCCATAGGGCTTTCTTGGTCAAAGGTTTTAACGAGGCAGTTTGTGGCTTTGAAATAACATATTATGATACATAATATTCGGAATATTGTTTTCTCTAGAAGAGTAAATTCAAATGCAGTCCAGAAGATTAGGCCCCGAAGGCCAATGACTGTACGCTTTTCCTTTACTAAGTTTTTCCCCGCATGGTTTTCTTAGTTAAAGGTTTTTAATGAGACAGTCAATACAACACATTGTTTTACATATATATTCCTTGATTGGTTTTTTTCCCAAAGGGTTTTTCCAACAAGGTTTTTAACGAGGCATACACACAGTACCATAATTCATTCAAGAAATTAGCAACCAGATTGGATTGAAATGGATTCGGCAAGAAGACCTGAAGTGATGCAGTCAATGGGGGAGTATATACGAGCTGCACTCTTTTTCCCTTGACCAAGGTTTTTTCCCACTGGGTTACCTCAGCAAGGTTTTTAACGTGGCAGCATTACCAAAATGTATAAAGAAAGAATGCATATTTTTCTTGTAATGTATTTTTTAGCAATGACATCCAAGGGGGGATGTTATGTAATATGTGGATGTCCATTAGTCTCCCCGACCCATGTATTCGACCCATTATCTAGTAACCCTAATCCCATCTCCCTGTATAAATATGTGCTATATGCTAATGAAGAGTTAAGCTTTTGATCTGGTTTATTACACTTAGATCTTTTTCCTATTTTTATATTTTCTTAAGGACGAATTGTATGTGATACCGCGCCATTTCCCCCAAAATTTGTCAACATCATATGCAATTAACAAAAGTTGTCTATGAATCCTATGATAAACAAAATTGAACGTATACAAGAACTGTTGAATTTTTCAGTTTGCCGGACACAATGCTTCGCGTAACAAACATGCCCATAACTAGTAATGTAGTTGGTACTACAAGAAGTCATAAAGTCCACTAAATGTTCTCTTAGTATTTACGGAGTACTGTCTACATAGTTAGGATGTTTTTAACTGTAATTTGCTAGTCTGGTCTGGTTTCTTTATATTTTTATAACTATCCGAGTCTGGTCTGGGACGAATTACAATCTAAGTAAAAACATCCTTAGTACTTGAGTAGTTGAGCCATATGGTGTATGTAGACTTCAGCCTTGAAATGGTAGAAAGTAGAAACTCGTAAAATGTGTTTACCAAACATTTTTTTATGATGATTAAAAAACTGTCTATTATCTGCTCCAGTAAAAAAGACAAACACATGAGAATTTATCTTCTTCGGCTGGGCATAATAACACCTAAAAGTCTAAAACTAGCCCCATAAGCATGATCTACAAAATTGAGTTTTTCCTGTTTAAAAGTCATTGCTATAGGACTGGAATGAATTCTTCATTCATATCATGGCCACGCTGGGTAGAGAAGGTTACTTTTAGATGCGCCATCAAATAAAGCAAAAAGTGCAGTCTTCTACAGTCTAGTGGTATTCCACTTATTGATGTACTTCAAGAAAGCAAGGGCGGGATCATCTTTTGCTGGTCTTGGTAGGGCCTTGAAGCGGCTAGACCTGCGGACAACAGCTTCTTCCATTGCAACTCTTTGAGCTTCTTCCTTTGTTTTCTTTTGATACTCCGAACTGCAAATATAAATTCAGCCCAAACATACATTGATACATGTTAACGTTACTGTGTCTTGGGAAAGTGAGGATTAAAAAATTACTGGAGCTACAAACATAAATTAATGGATTCCACTTCATATATATCAATTTTATTGGAAACTTCAGGAAATGTTAAAAACACCAAGGGGGACTATGATATAGGAAAGACTTCCCTGAGTATGATGATTTTTTCAATGATTGGTGTTCCCTATGTTCCTATGTAATAGGAACAAAAAATCAAATTGTATCAGTTCTTTTTAAAACTAACATAAATTTTGATACTCAGTCTTTATTGTGTTTGGACTGATTATTTTCTCAATTATGACATAAGATCCATTGAGTTCTAATGTTTTTATTTCCGAAATAATATGTCATTCATGTGAGCCAACCCCCAGACTCTTTTGGTCGTAAGGCTGGATGTTGTCGTCGTGATAAGATCCATTTGAGTTTGAACCATTTTTTGTTTTCTAAAATTTCTGTTTCAAGTTTCCCTTCTTTTTTGGCTTACCTTCTGCCCTAGCATTTTTTGAATTTCAAGTGGATCCTAATAGTGGTCCCATTGCCTGCAATTCACTCATTGCTGACATTCAAGTGACATTGCCGCCCTCTATAGGCTAGAAAATAACTGGACGTTTAGTTAAATCATGCATTTCTATACAGTTTTGCATCTCCACTTCCTTTCCAATGATTAAAATGAAAGAGTAATACATTAGTAAAACAAATACCACACCTTCCCTCTTCCCTCACCTCAGAAACCACTCAACCAAACAAGGGCTAAAGTGTAGCAAATGAATTGGTATAAGAGATTTAAATGTCACAAACAGATATAATTACCTGATTTTGGTGTAGAACTTTTCCAATTGCTTTTTAAGTGCTCTCTCCCTGACACCTTTCACATTGAGTGAGCCCAGCAGAGCATCAAACTGTTACCAGTCTGACGATTTGAGGATTATGAAAAACATGTGGAATGTTAAAAATAGATAATGCCACGACATGGATACCTCCTCTTTGGAACGATAATACCCCCACTGAGTGGAATCAGGACTCTCCACAAATATTCTTGCATCACGTCTGAAAAACCAATATGTATTATAATCTCTGTCTTTCCCAAGTGGATTAGTGCGTATTATTGTCTTCTCTATTTCCCGCTCAAGATATTGCCTCTGAATGAAAATCGATTCACAAGCATGACGTCACAGGAACGATGCTAGGGTTTACATTTTATTAGAGAAATGCTAGAGGTACCCCATTTTGTACCCCATCCTATGTTTGTGGCTCACAAAAACCCAACCCAATTAAATTAATTGCTCCATTTTAACTCATTGCTTTTGTGAACCACAAACATAGGGGGTACAAAATGGGGCAGCTTTAGCATTTGTGTTACATTTTAGTCAAAATTCGGAAGAGCAATGATAAAACATAGCATTTACAAATATGGAATTCTATAGGTAGGAGATAGGGGAGAGGGGGGGTAGAGAGAGAGCTCACCCTCTGTTCCTTGCTTCTATTTTCAAGCGCTTCCTTTATTTCATTCTTCAGCACTTTATGAGCATTTGGAGAATGGTCCTTGCACTTATTTTGTGTTGATTTCTCAATTTCATTCTTGTTATCTTCTTTCTTTGGTGAATCGCCCATGCACTCAGTTGCAGCTTTCATATTTATCTCTTGCTTCTTATCGTTCTTAAAAGTTACTTCAGATGGTCTGTTTTTGCTAAAGAGACCAGGAAGGGAGGGAGAGAGAGAGAGAAAGAACATAAGAAAAAAAATGAAAAACAAAGACCAAGATCATACTCTAACCAATCAAATCACGAGTAACAATAGACATAAAACCTGTCATCAGAGGAAAGGTTTTTTAAATGAGCAGAAGAGTTGTTTATTGTATCCAAAAATTCTATCGAGTTGTTTATTGTTTCTTTTCCAGCACACTGAGGCTTTGAGCGCTCTTTTTCTTCTCTCCTCTTTCTACCTTCTTCCATAACTTCATCCCTCTTTGCAGCAACCAGTGCCTGCCTCTTCTCGATATCCCCATCCAGCTTTTGCTTGAAACTGTCGGACTCAAGAGCTTGAGCAACAAGTTCCCGTAGGATAACTAATTTGGCAGGAATGTCTAGAAGGCCATACTGACCACATTTAATTTTTGTGATATGAGAAGACATCTCAGCAATACCAGCCGTTTCCAAGAAATCAGATAAGTACTCAGTCCATGTGATCAATGTAATCTTAGGCTTGTGTTTTCTATTTGGGGTGTCAGTGAGATACACCCCACTGTCTTCAAACAAGAATCGAATAAGAGCTGCATGATATTCCATGATGAGAACAACATTGCTATCCTTGTGACATATGGCATTTTCAAAATCTTCAAGAGAGAATGGTGACAAATGCAAAAGCTTCCCGAATGTAATGCCGAAATCCCAAACCATCAAAAGATCCCCCACACAATGCATTGGGACATTGAAATCACGTTGTGGACAAGGACGTTCAGTCAGTTTTTTATCACTGTCTGAAGGTTGCACCAGGAGATCATCAATGGGGTATTTAATCGGATGTGTCTTGGGTGTGTCACCTTCTGAGTATCATTTTGGTAGGATAATAAAATTAGATAATGGATATGATGGGTGTGTGTGTCAAACAAGTACATATCAGTTCCGATTAAGAAAAATAAACTATGAAACATAAAATATTGGTGAAGAATATCTCCAAACTCCATGCTGAAGAGTTTTTACTTCTAAATTATAGTATAATACACTACAACTCAATTTGGTTCTCAACTCTAAGAATGTTTTCTTTTAGACTGAAATTTAGTGGTCTGGTCTGGTCTGAACTAGTCTGATAAATGTCTGGTCTCTGTGTATTTTATAACTATGGAAGTCTGGGACTGAAAACAGTCCAAAAGAAAACATCCTAACTAGACTCAATTCAGTCCCGACTCCCGAGCTATGAAATTTGGATCAAGTTTTCTCCTCATGCATATTTAGATCCAAAATAAGAAGGGTATTACTGCATATTTGTTATTTTCTATATTTGGATCCAACTTTGAACTCAACTGGACCCCCAGCTATTAATTTGGATCCAATTTGATCCTCAAATTTCCAAAATAATCTTCCTGATTATAGCAAAATATGCATAAGATCATTGAGATTAAATAGCATAGTCGGAAACGAAATCGAGTCCAAAAGAAAGTCAAGGGTCAAAAGTGAGTTACAGTGTATAGCCAATGGGCAAAACAGGGTATTAACTCAAAATTTCAATATAAGGAATTTACAACTTATACACAGCATTACCAATACACTCTTCTTGCTTCAAACACTTTGCTTTTCCCGTTCTTATGTCCGTCCTTTTTGGACCTGAGTCATCTGGCAACTCAATAAATTCCTGAAACGCAAAAAAAAAAATCAAGTCACTTATACCAAAGCATCAGAAGAAACATAAGTGGAAGCATAGGGTTGAAAATACACTTATAGTTACCACGCCTTTTTGTATTTCTCCATTTTTCTTTCTCTTTCTGTTTCTGACAATCACTTCATCCTGCAGCGACAATTTTCCTTTCAGCTCTTCCGGGGGATGAGTTGGGATACCATGGTCCTCGCTCTTTCTGTTTTTAACAATCACCCCCTCCTGCAGAGAGAATTTTCCTTTCAGCTCTTCTGGAAGATGAGTTGGGATACCATGGACTTTTGCCAACTTGTCATGTATGATCCAAGGAAAGCTATGATATGTAGACTCTCTGATGAAAAGCTTCAGAGCACCTTTACTACAAGGGAGCTTCTGTAATATAAGATCTTCTTCCTTTAACAATGTATTTTCACGTACTTCATCATATTTGTCCATCCATGAAACCTGATATAGAGGTTTATTTTTCTTCACAACTCTTATTATCTTGCATGGATAAACATGATTCTTCATCCTGCCATACAGTTCACTACCCTCTGACAAGCAGCCCTGGAGCTTTGTAGCAATCATATTGGCAAGCTCTTTTAAACTAAGCATACCTGCAGAAGTAACAGATCGTGAGATCATTAGAAGAATTGAACATTACAAACAGAACGGATCAATTACAGCAATCAAAAACAGATTTAAACATTACAAACTGAGCCAATAATAAAACAAGACCATCCACAACAAGTGAACTGATGATTATGGATTGATTTGTCCTCGTCTTCATTGTAAAAGGAAGTGGGAAGTGACACAAGATTTATCGTGCAGAGATTAGATGAGCGCATTTACATTATATTGAGAACAAAAAAATTGGAAAAACTACGATATAAGTTGTTGATAAGGTAAAAAAACTTCACTTTGATTTATATGATGAGGTAAAATAAAGCCTATCAAGATCCATTAACACATTTAGAATCCAGTTTACGTAATGATTGAGCCAAGAATCTAACAAGTACAACAAAAGCTAGATATCATTATATCAAGAGCCTCGATTAATAACTTTGAAAAATGTAGCAACATAACTAGACTAAGATTTTTCCTTTGCACCACAGAGAAAACATGGATACACAACCCAAGGTTTGGTCCTGTGCTTTATTGATGAAATGATTTTGACTTTCTAATAAGTAGAGGATATTGTACAGTACCATTAAAAAATTCAATGCATCACTGATATAACAAAGAAAATCTAAATGAAGTCTAAGAAGTTCAGAATTACTAAATTGAACATCACGGAGTACTGGAGCCATCAGTTCTTTTGGGAACCGTTGGGCCTCTTCACTAGCTTCCTTTTCTGAAACCAGTGCCTCATCATATGTCAAGTTTCTTTTCCCAGTTAATTTGCATGTCCAGATCCTCTGTTTATAAAGATTTATCCGCTTTACATAATCACTGCATTTGATATGATATTAACTAATAAATCATTAACTTTTCATCAACAAACCACTATACAAAAAAAAACTGTTTTAGTGATAAATGAGTTGCAAGCTTTCCTGGCTTACCCATAATCCCTGAATATCTCCTTTGTGAATCTAACTTGGAAGACTAACTCATCTGGCTTTAGATCAGGGGGCTTAGCCGCCAAAGGAATTGCCTTTCTTCTGTACAATGGCATTCCGTAAATGTCAACTCCAGTGCCTAGGAAGTCCCATAAGTGAAGACAAGTTAGCAGAAACCCTAGAGAACCCCGTACTACTAAAATGTCATACGGAAACAAGCAAAACTCCAGAACCCATATACGCATGTGCATGACTTCACTGGAATGCGAGCTCACTTAGACAACATGACAAACGCAGAGAATTCGGAATCTAAACTAAATCCAAGGATTGTTGAAATAGTTCTAGTAAAATGACACATTTCGCACCAGTAGTGTTTTCAAGAGCATGCGTGTAACTGCTGTTTAATGATTGACGATAACATGAAGGAAGATGAAGAATACCAGAAGCAGATTGGAGAAGGTAACTGAATTTGAAGAGTGCTGTTGGTTTTCTGATTTCGAATGTGTTTCCGCGGGGAAGGAGACATTAGATGGTCAAAGCGCGGTTTTGGCCATGACCTCAACCCCTCTTCCTCTGGGATTTCCCACGTTTCAGCCTTCAAGAAGAATCCATTTACTTTAGTTGAAAAAAAGGGTGAGCTAGGAGAGGAATTTGACTCATCATTTTCGGTCAGATTCGGTGTAAAACACGAATGAAAAATAATCACATTATAATGGAGTATTTTTTTTAAAAACAATTACTCACAAATACTAGATAACATATTTTATTTTAAAATTGTGATTAAGATACACGTGAATGGAGAAAAATGACTATATAGCATAAAATATATAGGCTGCATGAAGTTATAGTAAATCCTATTATTTTTAATAAAGTATATATAGCTTTTTAACGATTAATATAAAAATGTGATAAGAGTCAAATACAAGATTCAATAATACATACTTTATAATTAAAAGGTACTGAGATAGCATCAAATTCCACAAAATTGCTATACGCTATTTTTCTCGAATATATAACATCAACTTAAATGTATAATATTAAAAAGTGTATATACGCTCAATTATCTCTTTAAGGAATTATATGAGCAAACTTGTTTGATAATGTATCAAACAATTAACTTAAATTAAACAATTGTTGATCAAACAATTAACTTAAATCAAACCCATATACGCATGTATAAAACAATTAACTTAATTACATGTAGCATGTCTTCACTGATAATACACATTTTTCACTAATTGTTTGATACTCTGTAATGTTTTTTAGGGGATCATGACCGTTACATCAAAATCAAAGAGATCAACTATGATACCAATTATCCTCAACCTTGAAATGATCGTTAATCAGCAATATGATTCGACACAACAATTACTAGCCAAATAGATCTTCCTACTTCTAAGTTCTAATGACATATTAGCTAGCTACATTATCGGTCATACTTGTAAAACCAACATCAAGGGTTTCAACATAGAACAACACGTACAACATAATAAGACATAAAATGAAAGTAAGACGAGGGCGAATAGAATAAGTGAATAACTAACTAGAGCTCTACATAGCCCCTCTATAGCAACATCATTTCGTATCCCCAACTCCTCGTTGAAGCGTCCATGACAATGGTTCAGGAGGGGATGAACCATCAATCATTCATCTTCTTCAGTTCTTCCTCAATCACTGAATATGAAATTTTCCACACAACATCAAGCAAAACCCTCCACTGAATCCCAAACTCTCCATCGTGAAGCTATATTGGAATCCCAACCATCTCCGTATGTGGTCGCTCTTTTGCTTTTGTGCTTTGGTTTCCATGACAAATAAAATCACTTCTTCTCACGGATCAAGTCTATCAAAACTATGTTTCTGCTAGCGAACATATCTTCGCACACTTCAAAACTTCCCTTATAATTTGACAAAACTTATAATGGTAGAATTTGCCCGCCGGACAACAAAAACCCTAGACGACACTTAGGTAACCTCCGCCACTTCTCTTTAGTCAAAAGTGCAAATCCATAATCATTGTGAGTAGAATGTTTTTGAATGAGAGACATGATTCAAATTGTTTACTTAAAAGGCATGTAATTATTGTACCTCAATTAAGTTCTTAATTTGAATTCACAAATTTTCAGCCAACATAACTTTATCTCTATTAAAAGTACACTAAAGAAAATGGATAATTAATGATATATGTATTATTCATAAAGGTAAAAATGACTTGTTTCCAATAAAAAAAGGTAAATCCTCATGTAAAGCGTGAGAACATAATATAGAGGCGGAAGGAGTATATTATAATATGAGATGGAAAAAATATATAATAAATTAATAATAGATAAATAGAGAGTATTCTTTGACGTTCCAAAAAAGTCCCGAAATGTCCTTATATTTCATTCTAAGTCAGTTGATGAATAATAAATTGTATATGATGTGTTATTTACTAGCTTTATTGTAACTCTTAACTATACACTTCAACAAAATAATATAATTGGGTTTTCAGTTAAATTTATAGGTTCACATGCGAAGGTGCAATATAAGATGTGTAATTCTAAATGCAGCTCAATTTTTTGCTAAGCATAGCCTCTTGTTTAAAAACGTTTTGTATAAACGGATGAATTTTACAAACTTATCCTTCAACAAAAATAAATTCTTTTCAACTGCTAAAGCACAACCAAACTTTATCTACTCTGTAAATACGAATATGTACCGGTGGGCGTAGCTCAACTGGTAGTAAGAGAGTGCCACAAGAGTTCGAATCCTGACAATTGCACTGAATGGTTCAAGGCACTTTGCAAGTACCAAGGACAATGTCTCACTCTCTATATGTCAGATTGGGATTATAGTCCAATTTAGATCCTCCCAACATGCCGTCCGGTCGGCGTTGGGGACCCTCGGGGATGGGGTGTCATCCTTTTTTTGTAAATACGAATGCGTCTTCCCTGAACAGTGTAATATGTGGAGGAAGACGACGGGTTGATAACTAGTGTCGGTCCGTCAATAGCAATTAAATGGGTAGGGATATAATAGACATTCTATTTATATTTAATTATTAATTATTATTTTTAGGGTTGTGAATAACAATTATGTGGTTGTATTTAGAATTACTAAGATTCAACAAAGATATTTGACAAATTTTGATAATGACTACTTGGGCTAAGATGGGGTAGTTGCATTGGGTCAAGTAATATAAACTATCAAGGGTTGAATTAGATATAACTAAACAATATTCGAAATTTTAATTGAAATCTTTGTGTGTTAAATATTGTGAAATTCCCAATGACGTGTGTGAAAATGTTCTTTGTCAAAAATATTTTATAAAAAAAGGTGTGAAAGTTATAAATTTCACATAAATATAATAACTAAAGTCATTATCTTATAATCATTGAACTTGAATTCAAAGTCAAATTAACCATTTTTAAGGGAAGGAATGAGTATTTAAAAATGAATTGTCTGCTTTTTTAAAGACAATTGTGGCAATACTATATAATATAATCATTGAAAATTTCAACCGATATTATGAAAAAAATAGTGAGTGTGTTAGTATATTTTATCAATACTACTAAATCCTTCCTCATGCTTACCAACCTAGTAGAAAAACATATTTTTTGAAATTGTCAATCTTGCTACTGCATTTAAGGAATTTGAAATTGCAGAATATACTAATTACTTTTGTGATCATATGAAAACAAAGTTCTTAAAATGTTACGCATGTATTACTTATAATCATGACATAAATTTTAATCTGGATACTAATTTAAAATTTGCTAGCTATGATTTTTTTTAATAATATTATTATTCTTACTTTTATGTGGCTTTTCTAGTTGCCTGTGTATGATAACAACCTCATAGATGTTCAAGCCTAATTTTCCGAATTTAGTAATTTATTTCATAATTTATTTAATAGGTTTCATGCATTACATGATAATGTTCTCCACCAAGAGACGTCTTCTTCATCTAAGATAGAATGTCTATTTAAAAGTACAATAGAAAATAATTTGAAAAAACGAAGTCCACTCCATATGTTGCACAAAGCTCAATTAATGAGCTTTATAGTGTTTTCTTGTGAGTTGTGAGTATGAAGAAAGTGACAATTTGACATGTTAAAATAATGAAGAGAGAAAGAATTAAGGTTTCTCATAGTATTAACAATGGCGAAATAAATCATATCTATGAGGGTATCAATAGTTGAGGTGGAAAAAACTTAGTAACGTGGTACAACACTCTTATAAATTGTAGTACTCAATTGAAAACATCATCACTTGAAACACTTGACGTGCACTTTGTCACGATGCGTCAAAATAAATTCAATACTAGCACTAATACGTAGTATAGTGAAGTAGAGTTCATATCCACAGGGAAAGGAATAATTCTCTTTTTATAAAACTAGTAAATAAAAGAGGGGTTTTGGGATTGAATGATTTAATTAAAATTAAACACGAAGATGAACGACTTATATGAGATTTAATTCAAAGATAAAAGGGACTTAGCATTGCTACTTTCCATTTGTTGATATATTTTAGTCGATCATTGTTATATCTATAACTTATCTCCTCTCGAATACTCAATCGAGGAGTATATCCAATTCATCGAGGGTAATTATTAACAACGATCATTCATTAATAATCCTTACTATTAGTCAAGTATAGAACACCGTCATATACCGACTTGATAATAGCATTTAATCTCTTAATTCCTTGATGAAATCAATTGAGATTGATAACCTCAACACAGCGGCTTCGGTTTAACCAACAAAATTAACCCCTCTTAAGTTTATTAACCACGACCGTGCATTAACAAAACGAAGTTACTTGTGAAACCATCAACGATTAAACATCGGTTCGTTAACCTCATTTGGAGACTAAACATGCTATAAAAATATAAAAGAAATAATGTTCTAAACTGAGCTTAAGAGTATGCAAGAAGAAGTGATTTAAATGGGAGGAAAAGGGGTGTATTTATAGGTATTTTGAGGTGGCTGGGTCTGATACCCAACCGGGTATGTAGAATACCCGATCGAGTATCCCTAATTGCTTGGAAGGTGCTGAAATCACATTCAACCCGACCGGGTAGGGTCAAAACCCGACCGGGTTACGTATCAAATCGGATATTTCCCATGTTCTCTTGATCTTGGACACGTTCTTTTGTTCTTGTCAACTCAACCCGACCGGATTTTATACCAACCCGACCGGGTTTTGGTGCGTAGCTTCCTTTTGGCTTCATATGTCACTTACAACCCGACCGAGTTATATTTCTGTTAGGGATATTTTATGGTGTCCAATCTGGTTAAATATCTTTGTATTTGTGTAGCTATTTTGTCTAGATATTTTACCTCATTGAGATCTTTGTTAGCTATTATTAGATTAGCTTTATTAAGAAATGTGCAAAGTGTCTATTTGGTATTGAATGGGTTAATCTGTTTCTTCTCTACTCTATATTTTGTATGATTGTTGGATGAAATAGGGACAACAATTTCAACCCGACCGGGTTTGCTACCAGAATTTATTTCCACCATTCATCTTGCCTTCCTTTGGCGCCTATAATACTTTCTTGCATCCCTTATGATACTTACAACAAAATACACACTAAAAATACAAATTAAAACCTACAACATAAATCTATAGAGTACATCACAAACTAAACTAAACAATTAAAAACAACAATCAAACAATACTAAAATAA